TGTCTCCATCTCTTGGATGATGCTGTATGGATTAGCACTACTGTTGAAAGGATACAATTAAAAGTTGATAGTTGTGTTGTAGCGATATCAATGCAAAATTGTGTATTGTGACTCGTATATTCTCCAGTTAGGGTTGGATGGGAATATATTTGACCAGCAGAGAAGTTCTGCTCTCTGGTGCAAACCCCCTTGTGCTTGAATCAGCAGCTAGCAGACAAGATCCAGGAACTCTGCCCTGGTCTTGAGCGTTTGCATTTAAACAATTAAAAATAGGCTGAATTTGTAATCGCACATCTAGATTTGCCCTCATTTATGCAGCTGTTTGGCTCCATTAAGTTCATTGTGTAACTCTTCATGTTGACTGTTCAATTTGATCGCTGATGCTTTTGACAGAAAATGTGAAACAGCAGTGAGCATCTGGAACAATGTCGGATACATGGATGGATGCCATACTTTTATTTTTTCATTGTTAAACAGCACAAAACCCAATTCTCTGGCTGACTGGCTGGCGTCCATGGGGACGTGTCCTCGGGCAAGGCACTTCACCCCGTTGCGTAGCCGTGCCTGCAGTGTGTGAATGTCGTGTACGTCCTGTCGTCGGTGGGTGAATGAGGACCTGGAGGGTCGGAGGTTGGCTGGTCTGAAGAGTAGAACAAGCCGCACTGTCCACGTCTGTGAAACGGGACACGGCGGGGACGGAGTAACGTCCTCTGTTACGGCACTTTGTCCTGTGCTCTGAAACCACACTGTTTTGGTTCAGTGTTCAAAAGCAAAGCAAAGTGTTTTCTTCCAGTGTCCATGCACAATTCCAACTGTCCAAAGTGGTGGAAGTAATTGTTTTTGCTGTAGCTTGTCACGACATATGGAAGTCGAAATTATGAGATAAAAAGTCAGAATTATGAGATAAAAATTGAATTCTGCGGCGTCTTTCTTCATTGAGAAATTGGCAACACTGGTTCAATAAAGAGAGAACTCTCTTCAGGACTTCAATCGTTACCAATCACGATAACTACGGAATAAATATCACCCGCAACGTATCTTATCTCCCTAGAAGTTTGATTTATTTCGGACTCAGAAAGGTGTAAAAGATAATTTAGATTCCGCTAAAAGTCAGACGTCCCTGTTTGTTATGAGGGTGGAGTGAGTGGAAGTGTCCGTAGAACGTTTACAGTTCGCTAAAGTTGGCAAGATATTCACAGATTTGGACTTCCTGGTTTAACAGCTGCTCAGCGAGAAGTTGTTAAACTCCGTAGACCGTATTCACCAACCAAGTCATCATTTCGACTTTTTACCTCATCATTTCGACTTTCTTAAGTCATAATTTCGACTTTCTAACTTTTTTCTTTTTGTGGCAGAAATGGGCTTCCGTACATTCGTGTCCATCTTGAGTTGCACTTGCAAATTTAACCCATGCACAGTTGACTAGACGTTTTACCTTTAAATATGCATCAAATGCATTGCAACCATTGGCTGTGCCCTCATCCGGCAGTGTGGGTGGAATGCACGCTGCTCCCTCCTGGTGACGCCGTGACATATGAACCGTGTCATTTGTGGAAGACAATCCAACTATACAAATTAGGTGCACTGTCTCCATCAATCTCCTGCTGATGGAAACACTTATTGACTTTTTCTTGCATGTACGGTATCAATTTGAATGTTCCTTCACTTACACGCATGTGGCGGCGTCACAGCAGGTATTTGAATAGTGGTCAGACACATTACATTTCAATCGCTACATTCTTAACAATAAGACATTTCTTCTTTTCTGCTCTACAAGGATACTTGTTGAATAGCTGCTAACAAAGCACTGCTATTTTCCTATGAATACCCCACAATAAAAATGGTTGAATTTTATTTTAAAGCTGCGGTGTTGTCAGCTGCACCCTGAACGGAAGAGAAGAGAAAAGAAGTGGTCGTTTTGAAATGTGCTTGCTGTAAATATTACCATGGCGGTTCTGCCACGAGTTGCCAGGTTGGGACGTCTTTGGCATGACGAGGCTTCTTTGATGCTCATCGTTTTGGTCCGTGGTCCGTGAGCTCTTTCTTCTTCAACCTTTCCTTTTTTTAAGTAATTTAAAGCATTTACACTAATCCTCCCAACATGGGCCGACTTCCCGCTGACTGTGGGTCATGGCCCCCCCTACTAACAAGTATTGCCTCTTTCTCTTGACTTCCGCTTCCATCTCATCATCAATCCGTCAACTTAATAAGACGAGTTGGAATTGAAATGACTGAGTGTTAATTGTAAGCCCAGTTTGGCTGCATACAGAGAGCTTTTGTTTAAACTTGTTGGTAACAATTGGTTTTGTTCAAGTCAGTGCTCTTTGCTATTAACAAATTCATTATATATATTCTTTGCAAATAAAAAATCTTATGGCATACTTTTATTATTGAGACAAATTGAGATAGAAGCATATCTATCAAGTCCCGATCGGAGAAGGAACCCACGAGGCAGCGCGGGGAGATGGAGGAAGGAGAAGGGCTGTGGAGGCCATCCTGAATTTCACGTTCACGCGACACGACCACGTGGTGTCAAAGAAGTAAAAAGGAATTTGAAGAAGCGCTTTCATTTTGATCCATCAATCGATTGGATTCTCTTGCAATTGAACGTATTTCTGTGCAGAGCATGAATTCCAAGATGCTATGAAATATGTACTACTGGGGGCCGCTCATTTATTTAGATTTATTTGCTGAAGCATGTGACTCATCCTGATGATGTCATGGCGGCTCTGGGGGACGCTGCGTACCGGGTTCATACGTGATCACACAGATTCGTTAGATGAGGCCATCTGTGCTGAAGATGTGGGGTCAGAAAGGAGACCTTTGTGTTTTTAAAAATCCTTACACGCTTCTACTTTGTCTCCCCTGTCAGGTAAGAGCAAGGAAGCCGAGATCAAACGGATTAACAAAGAGCTGGCCAACATTCGCTCCAAGTTTAAAGGGGACAAGGCTCTCGATGGCTACAGCAAGAAGAAATATGTCTGCAAGCTGCTCTTCATCTTCCTGCTTGGACACGACATTGACTTTGGGCACATGGAGGCTGTCAACCTGCTGAGCTCCAACAAGTACACGGAGAAACAGATCGTAAGTCTCCCACTGGTTCTCTGTGTTGCAGCATCTTTGGTTCATGGAGCTTTACACCTTCAAATGACCTGCAAAGTTGACTCCTTGTGGTTCTTACTTTCTAAAACATGTGTATACATTCAGAGTTTCTATAGATGCGTGACTGCATGGGAGACATGCGCCCAGTCTGCACCCTCCACGAGGCGTAACACACAAAGGGCGGAGCGTGTGGATGGAGAAAACCAGACCATGTTTATTCACCTACCCAGTCAATGAGGCAATTATGATAAGAAAACCTAATACACCATTTAAAATGACCTCGTTTCATGAGGTAAGACCCTAAAAGACGTTCAAATCAGGGGGTAAAAGGTATTAAATACATACCCTCAATTGGAAATCCTATTTTTTGACTTTGTCTTGGTGATCTGACGTGACAGCAAGGTGCCGTCTCATTCCTATTTACGCAATTTAACGCCCGGCCAGGTGACGTCTGGTAGGCCCTGCTATGAATGAAAATAAGCTTTTCAATAGCCTCGTGCTGCAGTATACTCAGCATGCAAGTTTGGGACAGTTGGTTTGGTTACATGAGGTGTATCACATCAAATGTTTTAGCAAACACCGTTCAGTCATTGACCCGTGTGTCATCACAAACACTGAACGTACCGTAGTGCTGCAGCTATCAGCTGACCTCCAGTACCCGACGACCCGGCCCAGTCACAGGCTAAATGGGGTTGGTAGAGATGCAAAGACATGCGTTGATGTCCTTAATGCAACATATAAAAGATGAATACTACTATATGCCTTCTAATATCTATTGTATATGTCTGTGGATAAAAGAAGGAATAAAGTACCCACAGGGAAATCATGTTGTGCATGTAACCCATCCCGCTCCGCGTGCTGCCGTCAAGCAATGCAGCCGGGGCTCGAACCTCCAACCCTGCGGTTAATGGCACACGCTCTGCTCCATGTGGCAAAGTCAAAAGTAAGGTGGTGATGTATTATTAGCCTGTGTATTTCTCATGTACACTGAAGTAGAGCCTGAACACACCATAATGTAGCGGCTCTGCTTCCAATTAGATGCACAGCTCTTGTTCACAATGTAGCATTAATGGCTAACGGTTAGCAGTTGGACTATAGTATTTCATACTATCGTTTAATGTTTTCATGCGGTAGTGAGCTTGAGACACAAAGACTTATTGGTTACGAAAACAAGGTCTCTGATCAATATCCACATTATTTGATGCGAAGCGTGAGATGTCACTCACAGAGGAAGGCCCTGAGGTCAGCCTAGTATAGTGTGAGGAAGGCTGTTGGATAAAGACAATATTATCACGGTAATGTGTTTTCATCAGAGCACAAATCATTTAGAGTGCAATACCTCTTTCAATCCCATAGCGAATCAATGAGTCCCTTTGAATCCAATTTGAAAGATGCACACGCGGTTTAATGTTCTCATGATAAAGCAGAACAGATCCCTCACACACTCACTGCTTCCTGTAGCGGCGGACCGTTTTCTCAGGAACAGGAAATGTCGAGTCAGCTGAAAGATGCTGAGTTTGAATGTTTATTTGTAGAGCTGACTGCTGTAGCAACATGTCCGCTGAGACGAGTGGGCCCTGTCTGAGAGACGCATGTCATTCCCACCAGGAACAAACGTATCGTGAAGCTTTTCCAGCGTTTCATCGATTCAGGGATGACGGACTCGTTTTAAGGCAAACAATTCACGAGATGGTAAACAGAGCTGCGCTGGCAGGTGCCAAGGTCCAGTAGAATCCGTCCCTTCACATTCATAAGCTCAAAGATCCCCAGAGCCCCCGTCCCCCCCCCTGCCTCTGCCCGTCTAGGCTGAATGTGGGGACGAGGTGTAATAAGTGTAAAGGGGGGTGTGGTTGTCGGTGCTGCTTGTCGTGGACCATTGAGGGAAACGCTTTGCAAATAGGAAGTGCATCCATTATGTGTGTTAGTCTTTGGATGCATGCATTCATTGTTCTGAGTAACTTGGCCACCAAAGCCCACCCCCCTCACAGGGACCCCTCCTCTTTGCTTCTGCCTTCTTTCTGAATGTGTTTGACAAACGGTGATTCTGTCGGTTGCTGCAGGGCTGCAGATATTCAAGCGCGTCTACCGCATTTATCATTATTTGCATTACGCTAAATATTTGAAACAACTGCCAATTTTCCACGTGCATAGCAGAGTTCTGACGTACAGCAACACATCGACTACGCAATGACTGTAGTGTTTCACACTGATCCAGTCAGTACAGGCTCACGAGGGGGTGAGCCTGTACACTGTTTGTATGAGAAAGCGGTTCAGTTGAGCATTAGAGCGGACGCCTCTCAAGCTGTCCATCAGTATCACTATCTCCTCATGATCTCTATCGGAGGACACGCTGAGCGTCTCGCTGGTCCTGATGCCGTTGCTCTCTTGTTCTGTCGATGTAGGGTTACCTGTTCATCTCCGTGCTGGTAAACAGCAACAGTGAGCTGATCCGTCTGATCAACAACGCCATCAAGAATGACCTGTCCAGCCGCAACCCCACCTTCATGTGCTTGGCGCTCCACTGCATTGCCAACGTGGGAAGCCGCGAGATGGCCGAGGCCTTCGCCAGTGAGATCCCTCGCATCCTGGTTGCCGGGTGAGTGGTGAAATGAATGGAAACCATCCACAGCTTCCCCCTTTCTCTTTCTCATGACTTTCTCACTGTGGCGTACTTGGCCGCGTGCGCCGTGAACGTGACTCACCGCAGTGATACGATGGACAGCGTGAAGCAGTCGGCTGCCCTGTGTCTGCTGCGCCTCTACAAGACCTCTCCTGACCTGGTGCTGATGGGGGAGTGGACGTCCCGCGTGGTGCACCTGCTCAACGACCAACACATGGTGAGCACTCGCACGTCAATGCGGTCACATGATGCCGTTTCTTTGTGCGTCTCTAATTGACGTTGACTTTGTTGCGTTGGAGCTTGTGTCGTTAAAAGCAGTGTGTCCTTTGCTGCAGGGTGTGGTGACTGCAGCCATCTCTCTGATCACATGTCTGAGCCAGAAGAATCCAGATGAGTTCAAGACCTGTGTTTCCTTAGCAGTTTCCCGACTCAGCAGGGTGAGTGTGTGTGTGTGTGGTTACATTTGTGTCATGAGCAATGCATCATAAAGGGAACTTGTGTGAAGGATTGTGGACCTTTCGGGGAATCCAGTTATTCTGCATAATACTCTTTTCTATCCACCCGATTCTGATGGTTTCGGTAAAATAGATTTTCTAATGTGTTAAGATCGTCGTGCTTTCCCCTGCCAGCCTTCATTCCTGACAGTTAAAAATGTTTTATAAAACATTGACAGCACTGTTTTGTATCATTGTTCCAACCAAAATGCCAAAATGAGGCTTCCCTGTGTAGTCTTATCTGTGCACTCTACTTAGTAAAATCTTTATTTCTGGTAATCATTTTCAACCTGACTTGATTCCCATGTTTACGACAGTGTGTATACGGTAAACTTTATAGAGTGAGCTGCACTTTGCCATGACAGTCGCAGGGTTCACTTTTGACGTGCCATAATAATTCCTGTGAAATATTCTGTCTCTCCAGATTGTGTCGTCGGCCTCCACCGATTTACAGGATTACACCTACTACTTTGTCCCAGCGCCGTGGCTCTCTTGCAAGCTGCTGCGCCTGCTGCAGTGCTACCCTCCACCAGAAGACGGCGCTGTCAAAGGCCGGCTGGTGGAGTGTCTGGAAACCATCCTCAATAAGGCCCAGGAGCCACCCAAGTCCAAGAAGGTGCAGCACTCCAACGCCAAGAATGCTATCTTGTTTGAGGCCATCTCGCTGATCATCCACTATGACAGGTGAGTGTGCAGGTAAAGGACCTTTGGTGTGATGATGGGCCGCGTGTGTCTGCCAGGGAAGAATTGCAAGGCAAGTTTATTTGTATAGCGCTTTTCATACACAAGGCAGACTCAAAGTGCTTCACATCATAACATTTCATACAATAAAGTGAAATAAAATGCAGGAATTAAGACAATTAGAAACAGCAAATAAAATTATAAATTAAAATCTTATTTAAATTGTTTAATTAAAGGCACCGGTTAAAAGTGCAATGTAGGTCAAATTTAGCATAAAAGTTTTCACTCTTGTTTTAAACGTGGTCAGAGTTGGGGCAATTCTTAAATCTTCAGGAAGTTTGTTCCAGCTGTTTGTTGCGTAGTAACTAAATGATGCTTTCCCATGATTTGTATTTACTCTGGGAATCACTAACAGATTGGTGTCAGAAGATCTTGGTGATCTTGAAGGCTTATGTAGTGGAAGCATATCAGTGATATACTTTGGCCCTAAACCATGTAGTGATTTATATGTGAGCAGTAAAAAAAGGTCTCTTTTTTGGGGAGACCTGCAAGGAGACCATTACAATAGTCCAGCCTACTAGTTATAAAGGCATGTACAAGTGTTTCTAAGTCTTGAGCTGACATGAGCCCTCTAAGTCGTGCTACATTTTTGAGGTGGTAGTAGGCCGATTGTGTTACTGATTTGATGTGACTCTCCAAGTGTAAATCTGAATCCATAATAACCCCCAGATTTCTGGTTTTATTTGATGTTTTCAGAGACAGAGAGCGAAGGTGTTGGGTTACTTTAAACCTTTCTTTTTTAGTACCAAATACAATCTCAGTTTTGTCTTCATTTAGTTGTAGGACATTTTGACACATCCAGTCTTTGATTTGCTCAATGCACTGGCACAGAAGATCTATGGGGCGATAGTCGTTTGGTGATGGCGCTACATAGATTTGGGTGTCATCAGCGTAGCAATGGTGGTCAATTTTATTTCTTTGCATGATTTGTCCTAGTGGGAGCATGTAGATGTTGAATAAAGTCGGCCCTAAGATCGAACCTTGGGGGACTCCACATGTTACGTCGGTTGTTTCTGATACGAAGTCACCAATGGAAACAAAATAGTTCCTGTGCAGTAACTATACTCTAGTAACCTTTACTCTAAATTCTGATCGATGTCGTGGTGGGTTTACGGATCATTGCATCAATTCACAATGAAAAACCTCAAAAAATACATTTCGTCAAACTTTTCTTTTACTCTTGTTTTTATTGTTGCGAAATGACGCCTGAGGTCTTCGTGGCTGGGTTTCTGTTCCGCAGTGAGCCAAACCTGCTGGTGCGAGCCTGCAACCAGCTGGGCCAGTTCCTGCAGCACAGAGAGACCAACCTGCGCTACCTGGCGCTGGAGAGCATGTGCACTCTGGCCAGCTCCGAGTTTTCCCACGAAGCCGTCAAGACCCACATCGAGACCGTCATCAACGCTCTAAAGGTGGGCTCTTCCACTCCCACACTGGGCAGTGTGTTCTAGTCTACACAGTACCACACTTCACAACCACACACTACAGTGGGACCAGAGCCCAGCGCTAACCCTGATGACCCGAGCACAGACGGGTCAAGCCAACTTATATGTTGTGCCCAATGCAGAATACTGAATAAGACAAGCAGGTGCACTCATATCCCAACTGATATGCCCAAAGTCTCGCAAACAGCAAAATGCTTCAGTAGACCAGCGGTAGGATAATGTGGCGTGAGCAAGCAGACTGCCTTGTACTCCAAATGGAGGCCTGATGTGTTACCTTCTCATCATTTCAATAACCAACGCAAGTAAGAAACATGCTCATGTGCCATTTGATGTTTGGCACTTCCAGTAGTTACCACGATATATAACGTGTCGCCTGTTTTGAAAAGCAGCACGTTGGTTAGCAGGAGGCTAAGCATCCTGTCCCCCTGTGTCCCCCTGTGGCAGACGGAGAGGGATGTGAGTGTCCGGCAGAGGGCAGCCGATCTGCTGTATGCCATGTGCGACCGCAGCAATGCCAAGCAGATAGTAGCCGAGATGCTCAGCTACCTGGAGACCGCAGACTACTCCATCAGAGAAGAGATGGTGGGTCTCAAGATTAACTTCATTTTGTTCCCCATTACATTCCTCTCTAAATGTCCACTGTCATCTGGTGGTGGTGGTTAAGAAACCCCAAACGGATTCAGTGAAAGCAAACACTTCACCGCCGAGCAGTGTCCTAAAGGATCCACCCGACCGATGCAGCCGTGATCTGCCTTTCCTCCCTCAGGTGCTGAAAGTGGCCATCCTAGCAGAGAAGTATGCAGTGGATTACTCCTGGTACGTAGACACCATTCTCAACCTCATCCGCATTGCTGGCGACTACGTCAGCGAAGAGGTGTGGTACCGCGTCATCCAGATCGTCATCAACCGGGACGACGTGCAGGGCTACGCCGCCAAGACGGTCTTTGAGGTAGCGCTGCGTAACCCAACCTACAAGTTATTTTTAAGACCTTTTTTGGTTTCATCATGAGTTGAGCTGCGCTTGGTATTTGCTACGCTGGTGCTGCGAATAGGAGAGCGTAAGTCGAGTCACCGTCTCTTGCAGGCCCTGCAGGCCCCCGCCTGCCACGAGAACATGGTGAAGGTCGGAGGCTACATTCTGGGAGAGTTTGGTAACCTCATTGCTGGTGACCCGCGCTCCAGGTATGTCGGCTTTAACTGCACGGGCTCTGCTGCCTGTTGAAGCGGTGTTTGGTAACGGTGGCGTCCTTTGATCCAGCCCCCTGGTCCAGTTCAACCTTCTCCACTCCAAGTTCCACCTGTGCTCGGTGCCGACGCGCGCCCTGCTGCTGTCGGCCTACATCAAGTTCATCAACCTGTTCCCGGAGACCAAGGCCACCATCCAAGAGGTGCTGCGCTGCGACAGCCAGATCCGCAACTCTGATGTGGAGCTGCAGCAGCGTGCTGTCGAGTACCTGAAACTTTCTTCCATCGCCAGCACTGATGTCCTGGTGAGTTCTGATCAATACGCTCTGCTCGGCTCCAGGAGCAAAGACTCCATGGAAGCATTGCTAGGCAGCTAATACCAGCCAGGCTCCATGTTCGTGTGCAACGTGAAATGAACTGGCATACAGTAGTAATGTTTCCCATATTCCCACGTCACATGACATCACTTGCTTCAGTCCAAACCCTCGGTTGTCCTCTCGCTTCCTTCAGGCCACTGTCCTGGAGGAGATGCCGCCTTTCCCAGAGAGGGAGTCGTCAATCTTGGCCAAGCTGAAGAAGAAGAAGGGGCCGGGTGCTGTTTCTGTGCCTGACCTGGAAGATGGCAAACGGGAGGGCGGGGAGTTGAACGGGGGGGGCGAGCGGGGGCCAGACTCGGCTGCCATGTCGGCCTCCAATGCAGTAAGCAGACGTTCTTCCACCAGCCACTGTAACTGTACTCCGGTGTCATGGAACGGATGGACTGCAAGTTTCTTTTGTTTTCCAGTCCACCCCGTCACCATCCGCAGACCTGCTAGGGATGCGCTCAGCAGCCCCCATGAGTGCTGCTCCAACCAGCGCCGGCAGCCTGTTGGTGGATGTGTTCTCTGAAGCAGGGCCTGCTGCACCCTCTGCCGCCGTCAACGACGACGGCTTCCTCAGGTGAGGAGTCGGACAGCAAAGCACATGATAGTGTCTTTGATTTAGCTACACATTGAGCGAATGAACATTAAACTGAGTTATCTGTCATTTCCAGGGCGGTATTGTTCATTTGCTCAGACAAACGGGAGGCAGGTCATCCCACAGTAACCCACAGACTTGCATTGTGGGTTGTTTGGGACAACACAGTAGTTATTATTAGGGGGAGAGGGAGGGGGAGGGAGCTTTCTAAAGTAGCAATGCACACATGCGCTCCTCACTGACGGGGCTCCGTGTGCTGCACAGCAGAGGGGGGGCTGCACGCTGATGAGCGTTACGAACCTGGGAGTGAGAAGGGGCGGGACACTGCTCACTGGCTGGGGATTCGCCCCCATGGGGGGTCCGGACACGTCCCAGCCACAGCAGAATGAGGAGGGAGCACGCGGCCTGTTAGACGAGCGGCTCTCATTCTAGATTGGGCTGAACTGGTCTCCCGTGAACTGGCGCCCGTGGAGATGAATGATTGTCTTCATGTGTTCTGGTATATACACTCAGCGGCCACGTTATTAGCACCACCCCCTTTGCCCTCAGAACTGCCTTCATTCTTTGTTGGGCTTTCAATAACGTTCCTCACAGATGTTGGTCCGTATCGACAAGATCGCATTCACGGTCCACCAGCACAAAGGTGCTGTGTTGGCCCGGCGTGGGGAGTCCAAGCCTTGCTCAGTGGTACTAAGAAAATCTCCCCCACACGACCAGCTGCAGCCCGAAGCGTTGATACGAGGCAGGATGTTTGCTCCACATCCTGAGCCCCCCACGTGAAGGTCCCGGCTCACCTGGACACCCATCAGACCAATGCTGTCCCATTGGGGAGCCTGTGCAGGTTGTAGGTTGCTGCCGTCAGCGGACAGGAGCTGCGCCTGGTGGGGGCCGTGGTTGCGTTCCTGGGTTGTAACGGGTGCTTGTTTAAGTTCCTGTTGCCTTTCTATCATGTGGAAACAGTCTGCTGGGTACTTTCTCTTTCTGGGACCATTGCGTGTGAACCCAGAGATGGTTGTGTGTTTAAACCCCAGTAGACGAGCAGTTTGTGACACACTCAGACCCGTCTGCACCCACAACCCTCCACATTAGTCACTCGATTCCCTTTCGGCCCCATTGTGAACTGCAGCATTGAGCTGCTGCCATGCGATTGGATGATTAGCAACGGGCAGTGGAACGAGTGTCCCTAATAAAGTGGCCGCTGACAATAACACCTCTTATATGGCGGAGCTCTGGAGTGTAGTTGTGATGGTAGCGGTGTGCTTGCTGTTTGACCACTCTGCAACTGGCTCTGTGCCGCCTGTCTTCCTCTTTGTCTTATGTGGACCTGTCAACCTGGACACGTTTGTGTTCTGTATGAATCAGTGCCTCCTCCTTCAGTTAGCTGCGTTTACTTGTACTACTTCCTACAAGTAGTACAGCATGTTATAATGACATCATGGCTCTATTCAGGACGGTAAAAGTACAAACTAGTGAAGGACCCCAGTCAGCTTAGCAGGTGGCGTGGTCTCTTCCTCGTGGTTGGCAGGTCCACTACACATGTGTGCTCTTTAATCTTGCTGTGTATGTGACTGTCTTTTGTCTGTTTCTCTTCTTCCCTTCTCTCTCTCTCTCTGTGTGTGTGTGTGTGTGTGTGTGTGTGTGTGTGTGTGTGTGTGTGTGTGTGTGTGTGTGTGTGTGTGTGTGTGTGTGTGTGTGTGTGTGTGTGTGTGTGTGTCCTCAACCGTGATTGGACACTGACAGAGATCTGGAACCGCCCACTGAGACCTCTGGTTCCCTATTGGTGGAGGGCTGTGGTGACTCAGAGTAAGGGCTCAGTAGTGAACTACAGACGTGTTTCCTTCTCTAACCGTGTGAGACCCCACTGGACGGGCAGCTCCATGACCAATAAACACACCAACGCTGCATAATGGAGCACAAGGCTGGTGTGCTCAGTGGGCCATGAGAACAGATGAGCCACATGTGGGGGGAAAGAAGACCTTGTCTTAGTGGGGGACTCGGGGGGGTCACCAATCCGAGGGGTAGACTGAGGGAGACGGAGGGAGGGAGACAGACAGACAGCGATGCGATCAGAAAGACACGGTGCGACACAGAAAATGGTTTAAAAACATTCTGTTAAATGTGGAAATGTAAGTTTGTGCACTGTTCAACTCCAGTTTTATTACTTGAGATACATTTATTTTTCAAGTAAGGGGTGCGGCAAGGGGGTCTTACATTGTCCCCAATCTGACTGTGGATGCAGCTATGAAACAAAGGCTCAATGGTCATGTTGCTACTATTGATGAAAGATGTGAATACAAGTCTCCTCATTCTGACTGCTGCGTTCACACCAAAGGCGAGGCAAGTTTCCTCCACGCTTTACCGGCTCGTCTCCGTAGACGTCCTCCGTGAAGACGGTCATCATTTCCACACCCGCAGGCACATAAAGCCGTCGGAGTATTTGGCTCCGCTTCTGGTGTGAACGCAGCACAAGATACTCCATCCAGATGTGCAGCCCACCGGGGAGCATCAGCAACATGATGATCCAATGTTCCACTAGCTGATAAAAGAGTCCATCACTGCTCTCAGAAGGAACCAGCATGCAAATATGAACATGAGGCGACGTCATTACAAGAGCTCCAGTCCAACCCTGGTCGGTGTGTTCACGGCATGAAGCTTCATGTGCATGTGACCCGTGTCACAGGGAGGCATCGTCTCCACATTTCAGATGAGATCACCCACTCTGCATACAAACCGTCCGTTATTTCATTTGCTATTCAGTCTTCTTACAATAAGAACGGGCTGGATGAGTATTTCTTATTTGGTGTCGCGTACCTTTTTATTGTGGAATGACTTCTGTACAAACGGCTTTTACTAACAACTCTGCATTTTATCCTCCTTTCTTCTTCTCGTTTGTCTTGAACAATCTCTGTCCCGCCGTCGAATGGACGCTTGTTCATCTCATTTCTGCTGCATCCCTTCGTCTGTCTCCATCTCTGTCTCTCCATCCATGTGCTGTCCTGGGGTCTCTCAGCTCTGCTCCTCCTTCTGAGGATCCTGCTACTCTTCTGTCTGAGGCAGACGAACTCCTCAACAAGTAAGCTTTTTACATACCTGCAAACTTGTTCCTTTTCGGCCAACTTCGCACTTTTGAGACCAAAATAGGTCGTCTGCGTGAGTCGTGTAGGTCCCAAGAGGTTTCATTTCGGAGGGGTGGCGGCGTTGCTGAGATTGGCGTGAGACGAGGAGAGAAGGTGATGTCCCCGTCTTCATTAAGCATCTGTGATGTGACGAGTCAGCGCTGAGGTCTCTGCAGCGTCGTCCTTCCCCTCCGACGGTTCATCCTTTCCCTCCAGATCAGTGCTGCCAACTAATGGGTGAATCCCCAAACCCTCTTGGGGATTTTCTTTAAGTCCAAAGCGACTAGCGACAAATGTAGCGACTCTCCTGGTGTCACTGCGGTGCATTACAGTTGTTGTCCAATACAGTGACGCAAACGAGGCCATGACGTCTCCTTTTTCACCCCTTATGAGTTTGCAGGTATGTTTTTTTCCTCCATACATGTGACTCTCCCGGTTTCAAAGGATGCTGCACTGACGCGGCGCCATGCTGGACTCGTTGTAGCGTGTTATTGTGAAATGATTGGATCTTACTAACAGCTGATCAGAGGATCTGCTGGTGTCACTGGCTCAACGCAAGACGGCAGCTCATCGGTTGTCCACGTGAAACCTCCTTTCGAGCCAAGTTGGGCTTTTCATGCATTATTACTTCTAACTATGTGTAAGGAGTCACTTTCTAAAAGTTGCAGGACACGCAACAAAGATGAGAGCAAACTCTGTTTAGCTGCTGAATTATTCTCATCAAGTTGATGTATTTATTTTCTGAAAATGTGAAAGCAAACCTCAGTCCTGTTGACTCCCCCTTCAATGCTTCATCCCGTAGGTTTGTGTGCAAGAACAACGGGGTCCTGTTTGAGAATCAGCTGCTACAGATTGGCATCAAGTCCGAATATCGTCAGAATCTAGGTGAGCACAAGCTCCGCCCCCTCCACCCGCCACCACTCCCCAGGTCACCGGGCCGTGTGCTGGCAGCCCATCGGGGGTCTTTAAGTATCCTCACGTCATGAGAACACGCTACCTGCTGTAACACCCGGGCCACGTCTCTTCCAGGGAGGATGTACTTATTCTACGGGAACAAGACGTCGGTGCAGTTCGCCAGCTTCACCACCACCGTCAGCTGTCCTGGGGAGCTCCAGTCTCATATCCTTTCCATTCTACGCGCCGTCTGCTTTCAGGTTCTTCTGCATCGGACCGAACTAGAAGGTGCTGAAGAGAGAACGGCACATTGAGATGTTCCTGGAAACCAGTCCTCAGATGTTATAGAAACGCAAGATCTCATCTTCTCAAGTCACGTTATTATCCGTTTCCCTTATTGGCAATAAAGAACGATGTAAACAGTTACACATTGAACTTTTCTATATGAAGAAAGAATGTGTCTTTAGTACGTCAGATGATCTGTGGTGTCCTCACGGCCCTTGACCACCAGCCACAGCTCAACGTTCAGACCAAACCAGTGGAACCGGTGGTGGAGGGCGGAGCCCAGATCCAACAGGTCCTCAACATCGAGTGCCTGACTGACTTCTCTGAGGCCCCACTGCTCAACATCAAGTTCAGGTGAGCACCAACAAGCCGTGGGGCACAATGTGAGCACCAGCTGTGCAGGCTTAGTTCCTGTAAGGGGCGTAATAACGACAGAAAGCTCGCTTTCGTTTCACACAAAGTTTATAAAGGTCAGAATTCTGAGCAGCCGTACTTTGAACATGCTTTGTACATTCTTTCAAGAACATTGCAGGACGTTAATGTGTGAAAAGCTACATCCGTTTAGTCATGTTAGCGTTGGTACTTTTGAGCACACCTATTTATTTAGAAATCTAAAAGGTTCTGTCAAATTAGCACTTGTTTCCGTTTAATTAGCGTTGGAATGCGACAAATAATTTTCTTCCTCCTTTTTGGCCGAAACCACAACGGCACAAATGGACGTGCATTGAAACGCAAACATGGCGGTCTCTGTCTTTGTGGCTTACGCTCAGGTACGGCGGCGCTCTGCAGAACCTGAGCCTCAAGCTGCCAGTCACCATCAACAAGTTCTTCCAGCCCACTGAGATGACTTCCCACGACTTCTTCCAGCGCTGGAAACAGCTCAGCCAGTGAGTGGTGGTGGTGGGGGGGGGTCCGTACATTTTGGTGCCCAGGTGATGTAGAAACGTCCTCGTTAACCCTCCCCAGGCCTCAACAAGAAGCACAGAAGATCTTCAAGGCCAACCACAGCATGGACACGGAAGTCCTCAAGGCTAAAGTACGTCTTTATACACTTTACGTAGTCTGCATTCTACATAAACCACGTTGATTAGTCCTTTTCAATACACGCTTGGATCCTGGTGTCCCTGTAATGCACATTTGGTGTTTGTGCGCAGCTCCTGGGACTAGGAACGGCCCTGCTGGACGACGTGGATCCCAACCCAGAGAACTACGTGTGTGCTGGAGTGATCCAGACAAAGGGCCAGCAGGTGGGCTGCCTGCTGAGACTGGAGCCCAACGGCCAGGCACAGGTACTACGCACCTCCTCCTTTAGCCCACGCGAGAGTCACAAGAACAGAAACCTTCCTTTGCACACACCTGAACAATGTGGCTGGTGCAGCGAGCGCTGACCCAGGACCAAAGTCCTGATGCATTAGTATTCAGCCGTAGATCGACATGCTGCTCCATTGTCTGACTGGCAGAGGAGGCATACGGCTTCCCACGTGTGCTCATCCGGAGTGATAAGCGCTTCCCTGACCCCCCCTCGCTCTGTGTGCTCGCAGATGTACCGTCTCACTCTGCGCTGCAGCAAGGACTCCGTGTCCCTGCGTCTCTGCGAGCTGCTGGCCCAGCAGTTCTAGAGTCCAGACCTCCTCCGTGACCAGTGCTCCCACCCTCCCCACCAGCGTCCTTTCTCCGGAGTCTTCTCCCCCCCCCCCAACAAAAAATCTTTGAGTAAAAGGTGTAACCTATATAAGGGAAAAGCAGCCACTGCTAGCAGCAGCGGCAACATTATGGTCGTTATTCTCGTCCCAGATTCTGATTCCTGTTCATCTTCTACTTGTTTATTAACATGATGCTACATTCTTGTTTTTGTTGTGTTTACCTGTTTTGCTGGGGCGTGTGTGTGTGTGTGTGTGTGTGTTGGTCCCATGGTTGTGCTGGAGGTAATTCTGCTCCATCCTGACTATAGTAGTGATGATGCAGTGTGTGTGCGTGTGTGTGTGTGCGCGTGTGTGTGTGTGTGTGTGAGAGAAGAGAGAGACACACACAGCATCTAAATATGGTGAACATTCCTTGAAGTCAAATGAGTGAAGGTGTTGAATTAAACGATGCACTCATTTCCAACACGTTATAATGAGGCCTCCATGATTCCCTGTGGTTGTGCTGATGAAGGGAGACCTGCTCAGGACTCTGATCGGCCCACTCGTTTCCGTCAAGCATTCCCTGCGACCATGCACTTAAGGCGCTGGGAGCCTCTTTGGGGCCCCCAGCGTGATTCCCCTGAATGACCCCTCTCCTTGGAGCCTTTTAATGGCAGCCTTTCATTTCAAAGAAGTAGTTCATGTCGTTGTGTGTGTAAATACGTGCCAGTGTATTACTTTATCCCTTTTAGGAGACATTCCCATATCAAAGTCTCTTGAGTAGAACGATGGCCCAGAGTGGACCCTCACCCATCTGACCCGGGATGGTTCCAGGTACTTGCCATTGAAAAGCTTTGGGAAGCGTCTGAGTCGGCATCCTAGATGCACCACATTATGCTTATTCATATATACATAAAAGCAGATGCATCTATTCAAGAGACATGGGGAAGGAAACGTGATGTGTGCACAACCACTACACTAAATGTTTAGATCCATGCGTCCACAGCTTTCCAGCTCCTCCCTGGGCTTCCTCTCGTGGACAAGCACGGATGTTGTAGGCGAGGACAGGATGTAAGACCCAGATGTCCATTACAACTACAGGGGACAGTGTGTGTGAGAGTGTGTGTGAGAGTGTGTGTGTGCGAGAGAGAATGTGGTTGTCAGCAGGTAAGAAAATAAGCCGAAAGACATTTCTAATACATGGTCACATGACATTCTGTGGCTGCACGGCAATCCCAGAATATTGAACTTTGTGGTGGAAAACGTAGTCATTCTGTGTGTGTGTGTGTGTGTGTGTGTGTGTGTGTGTGTGCGTGCGCGCGTGTGTGTGCAGTATCCACTAGCTAATGCAGCCTCATGTATCGGTGTTAAGAACCTGTCCAATACCTGTTAGAATTAAGATTTACTCTGTAATGAAAAAATGTGAAAGTAAAACTATGCCATATATCCGATATGACGCCTCCTGTCTCATTGCCTCCGTGTCACGTGATGGTGACCAAAGGTTCTCTCCTACATGACGCGATGGCCTCCAATTCAAACCAACGACTTGCACACAAAGATACGTCATTCTGAAGCCTGGTTTATGCTTCTGCGTTTTCAGAGCGACGCAGAGTCCCTTGCGTCGCTTTTCACACGTCCTTGCGTGTGTCGAGACATTTTTCTAGGCTTGCGTCGAAAGCGACGCGAGCAACTCAAGCCTCCCGCAGCGCACCAGGCTGCGATTGGTCCGCTAACTACGTCCTTTACGGAGTCTCACATTTCCGCTTTCACAGCCCGATACCGCCATTATTAAAAGGAGGAATGTTTACGAGAGAACGGATCAGATTGAAGAACTTTTGTCGGAAGAAATGCGTAAATATGAGCGCTTGTACAAGCCGTCATTGGCGGCTTGTAGAAGCGGGTTGGATTCACGGAGGGAGATCGCCGCAAACGCCGGTTTTCCGGTCGAGGGGAACAAAGTTGTGTCGACAAAACGCGCCACTCCGCCTGTTGTTCTGGAGGTGAATCGCTCTGCAACACGCGCAGGACTTTTAGAACCATGAATTTAAACGAGTGCGTCGACGCAACGACGCAGACGCAGAAGCACGCGCCGGCCGTCCGCTTCATGTCTCCTTCCGTTGCTCCAGTAGCCCCGCCCACTACAGCAGCGTCACCCAGTTTACTCGAACGTGATTGGTCAATGAAGCGTCTGTGAATTCTGCGTGTGAGTGCATCTTTATGAAGATTACACAGCCCGCAGCTTTTATAAACTAGAACCGCAGCGGTTCCACCAGGGAAGGAACAATAATATGTTATTCTAAAGTGAAATATCAGCCCCTATTTAACTATGGCTTCCTAGCAGAAGGTCGAATACACGAGCACGTATCAGTGTTCTGGGTGAATGGCGTCTCCGAGCAGTAAACGCTCATGAAACGCTTCACGCTCATGTGAAGATCATCCTCAGCGGCAGGTGCGAATTGTAATTAATAGACAAGCAGAAAGGCGGATATGAAAACGTTCATACCAAATAAGATATAAACCGAGGCCATGAACAGAAGTCCGTTGGATGGAGCATCTCTGAGATGGAGTCGACCGCCTCCCTTCTCACACTAACACACTACGCTGCACACTAACATGTTGTGCCATGCTGCTCTTTGCACGTCAGGGTCAAATACGGACACTTGAGACAAAACAATGTTACCGGTACATGCATCTCACACGAGCTTGTGGTTCCTGCTAGACTCTAGTATGAATATAGACTCTAGGTACCCGCTCCTCCTCGTCCCCTCCGTCTCAGAGTGCAGAATGCTGAGGTCCACAACACGCACATCCATCGGTGCACGATAAAGAAATGCTGGTAAAACACGTTGGTTTATTTGACGTGAGACACGAATAAAGACTCAAACAAGGTGAAACGAAGGTGCACATGTTTTATTGAACGCCTTTTCACAGCCTTTGCGTCTTATCTTATGGAACCGTTAGATTGCACCGTGAATAAGGCCGCACGTTCTGCTCGTTCCTGCAATGTTGTCACGCATCACAGCTGATCCGTGCACGCTTGCGCTCCCGATGGGGTTGATTCTGCGCTGCGGAGCGGCCCGCTGATACAGCGGAGACGCGTCTGCGCATGTGGAACCCTGGCGAGGCCCTGATTGGCTGAAGATGACATCACCCAGTCGAGCTCTATTGTGGCACGTAGCTGTGGATGAGCTCATCGTTTGGAAGGCAGTCCGTGAGCGCGGCGCGTGGAGGCAGCAGCGGAGGACCGTTTGATGAGCAGAAGGCAGCCGGCTCAGACGACCCGACGTGGGACTGACACCTGCTCGGGACTCCAGTGAGTAATGTCTAATGGATACAGACTGCACATGGTCTCGGTTTGCTGTCTCTGATGTTAACAGCTCATCATTCTCATCATGCACCAGAAGTTACATTTAGCGCAGGAACACGGCATCGTGACGTCATCAAAGCTGCGAGACAAACATCTCAGGCATTATATGAAGGATGCGCGTGTTGTGCTGCAGATATGGTGTGGTCCCGGGACACCGAGGCGGAGCGGCCCCCCCTGTCCCTCATCCTCCCGCGACTCTACCTCGGAGCGGAGCGCGACGTGACGCAGGTGAGACGGTCCGGTACTTAGTCCAGATGCAGGTGTTCTGATGCAGGGTGATGTGCATGTAAACCGCTGTGTTTGTTGGAGCTGATTAGAACCTCTGAGCAGCTCATCTAACAATGACGTGGTGGATCACACCGACAGAACCGTTCAACATTACTACTGCAATATGACATAAAGGCCCCTGCACATCAGATACAAAATATCCAAAATATTTCTCAAACAAGAATGTGGTGTTGTTTCCTTTACGTGTGTGTGTGTGTGTGTGTGTGTGTAGGACCGGCTGTCCTCTCTGGGTATCTCCTATGTGCTGAGTGTGAGTCGCTGCAGCCCCCAGCCCGCCTTCCTGCCCCCCTCCAGATACCTCCGCGTCCCCATTGATGACTCCCTGTGGGACGACCTGCTGCCCTGGATCCCACAGGCTCTGCACTTCATCGGTCAGGACCCCCCCCCCATACCAACACGCTGATTGTTCCTACAACGTGCACACAGACAGATGTTGGTGGTTTGCACTGACTGTGTGTGGGTTCCTGTGCTCAGACGCTGCCGTGTCCTCCGGGGGCTCCGTGTTGGTTCACTGTGCAGCAGGGATCTCGCGCTCCCCGGCCCTGGCTGTGGCCTACATCATGTACACACTGGGGATGGACCTGGACCGCGCCTACAGGTACCGCCGGCCTTCATCTATACGTTATTCACTTCATCTGTCGAAGTCATGAGAGAGCTCATGACGAGCAAAGAGACGGGCAGAACCTGGACTGCTCCGATTGAGAAATGATGAGTGAGATGTTCATTACATTTGTTTAAATTACATTTATAAATCTTTCCATAGTGACAAAAACAGTAGCCAGTCATTTGAAAATCCCCGTCCAGCCCTTTGAAGCCAGATGGCCGACAGCAGCCGTACAGCCATGGAAAACACAGCCAGAAATAACCACCAAATGTGCCAAATGTCAAAGCCCTGAGCCGGTTTTGGATGATACTTAGTTGGGGGAAGCAGAAAAAAGGAAAGCTAACCTCTAGATATGAATAGTGCAAACATACCCGCCCATCTGAAAGCAGCAGAAGACGATATGACATCCAAACAAAGACTGTTGGTAAAGGCCTGTCATCCCACATGTACTTAACCAAAGACACATATTCATCAAATAACTCACTACTGCAATGAACAGTAACCCTGCGCTCTGATCTGGTACTTAAAGCAGGAGTTATTTACATTAGTAGAGATTCAAATTAGAATCCATTGAACGTGGTGGTTCAGCTCGGTAACAAAACCCACGTCGGCCTTGTTTGGAACTTAATGGAACATTCTGAGCTGCTCCGTCTCTGCATATCGGCAACGTCTCACAGGTAAAAAGAATCATCATTATTTCCTGAACCACATCCTGTCTGTCCCCTTAAAGGTTTGTGAAGGAGCGCCGGCCCTCCATTTCCCCCAACTTCAACTTCCTGGGTCAGCTGCAGCACTTCCAGGCCTCGCTGAGCCAGAAGGCCTGTGGGGGCGACCTCGTCGGCCAGCAGCCGGACGGTCGCCCGCCATCCATCAAGGACGGCGCCGACCACGCGCACACCAGGAACACTCGTGGCGACAGTGAGAATTCCTACGGCGCAGAGCGCGGCACGCAGCGCAGACACGGCGCCGGGGAGCCGCAGGTTTCAGGGAAGCTTCTCGCTCTTCATCTGATTCTGAATCCAATCCAGCGGCACGTTCCGGCCCCGAGCCCCCGGGAGCCGAGCCCCCGGGAGCCGAGCCCCCGGGAGCCGAGCCCCCGGGAGCCGAGCCCGCCGGCAGCCGAGCCCGCTCGCCCGCGACCCCCCGCCGCCTCTGCTTCTGTCCTAGAGAAACGGAAAAGACTCTCCCTCCGTCTCACCCCAGTGACCCTTGCCCCCCCCGCCCCCGGGGGCCCCGCCGCGTCCCCAGCCGCCGACGGCGGGGCAACGGCACAGATTAACACCGGCTGCCCCGGGCTGCACATGGCAGAGGACGCCAGCGGGGAGCAGAGCCCCCCCCACAGCAGGTGCGGCCCAGCAGAGGGGAAGGGACACGGCCTCCTGTCCCCTTTCAGCATCACCCTCAACAAGCTGCTGGGCTGGGGGGAGAGGGTGCTGCTGGGAGGGGTGTGTGTCCAGCCTGCCCTGCCGTACAGGTGCTGAAGGTACTGGGGGGGGGGTCCTGCTGGTATGAAGCTACTGGGGGGGGGGGGTCCTGCTGGTATGAAGGTGCTTGTTGTGTCTGTTTGTGTCTGCATGTTTGTTATATTGACTACAGGAAGTCTTCTATTTATTTATTACAGAGCTGAATTTAACGATGACGATACGCAATCCACCTCCACACAATGCATCTTGTTTATTACACATCGACAGCTGGATTCAGCTTATCGTGTGTGTCCGATGTGTAGGATTTCCTTACTTGTCAAGATTTGTGGCACAATGGCTCAAAGTGTGTTTACTGATGATTAAAGAAGCCATTTCCACCGCGTCTGTTTTCTCAGGGATCTTCTTCACATTGTGTCCTTAGATCTCATCTCTCTGATCAGTGACATTATCAAAGCCCGAGGGCGGCTCACTGAGCGCTTCGTACCCATTCAGGACAATGTGTGTACTACTACTACTGCACAGGGGCCCTTATCATCCTCTTGACCTCATGCTGCAGGGTCCCCGTGTGCACCACAATCTGAGGCGCTCACCTGGAGCTCCGTGATGCTGCAGCAGACCTCTGCGCGCACCAGGGGTCAGCATTGAGGTCACATGCATTGTTTAGTGTAGTAGTTTAACGGTGCTGATGCGTGTTTGTATGTCTGTGGAGTTCAGCTTTGAGTCCCTTATTACATTTCGTAATATTGTGGTTGTCTTGCGTGGGCAGTGCAGAGAAAGGCGAGGCGCGCGCTGCTGCCCGAGGCCGCACATTCCTCCACATTCCACAGCGGAGGGAAACAATGGCGGCGCTCCTCAGGGACTCAAGATGACACAAGAACCCATTTAAGTTCACCACGAAGAACCAGAAACACACTCCGTTCTTATTCCAGCCCGAACACAACGCACAATAAATGGAATTACCGATAAACAAAAGTGCAGTGGACGTTGGAATGACGTCACGGAGCGGTGACGTGTGCCCCTCCAGATGACCAAATAAGGAGAGGGGCACATGAAAGTGGACTTGGTTCTGCTCCGGTTCGGTATGAATGAGGAGTCACGTGCTCGTGCCGACACGCCGATAAATCGACCCGTCTGAGCGGCCGTGTGCGCGTGCGTGTGCCCGTTGGTGCGCGAGCTGCTGTAGTTTCTTGAGGAAAAGAGAAGAGGAAGCAGTTCCGCCCCCACGAGCTGCCCCGGAGGTCGAACCGAGCGCAGCAGAAAGAAGACGCGCACGCACACACGCGCACGCGGCGGCTCGAGTCTGGGACGGAACTTGTTGCTCCGGCGGACTCGTCGCGTCTGACTGTGAGTCAAAGAAGAAATGAGTAAAGTTTCCGTTCGAAGCTGAAACCCTCCGCGCGCCCCGCTAAGAACAACGGCACCGAGCGACCCGCGGCTCCACTTCACGCCCGCTCAGGCTTTCCGACCCGGACCGATCCCAGTTCCGAACCAGTATGAGCGGAGAAGAGGAACGGTTCAAACTGGTGGTGGTGGGAGGAGGAGGGGTGGGCAAGAGCGCCCTGACCATCCAGTTCATTCAGGTACGGCCTACTTTGTATCACACACCTCGGCGGAAGTGCCGGGACTTTATGTCGCTGTATTCCGCCTGTAGAGACTAACGTGTTCATGCTGCTGGTCATCAGCAGCGCTGCTAATGTCCACGTTTCTCAGGGACCAGGTGTGGCTGTAGGGACACGTGTCTCAGTGATCACTAAATACATACCATAATAGGGTGGGAAGCCTTTCCAGATGTGCTCCGCTTAAAGGTAATGCGTGTGAGGAGGATCCTTCTCAACCTGGCAACCCATCCGATGATTAGTTATTGCTCATTACGTTACATTAGATGACGCTTTTATCCAAAGCGACTTACAATAAGTGCATTTCAACCATAAGGACACAAACCCAGAAGAGCAAGAAACAAGTGCAAGTTCATCAAATAAGCTAATTTACCATTTGCTGTAGATAAGTGGCGTTATAAGTAGGATTCTTGATCCATGAAGTGGTTCATGAAGCTATCGAATAAGCATGTTATCATCTCTTGCGTCTCGGCAACCCTGGTTGGTGTTTCCATCCTTTTATATGGAAGTGAGATCAGGTTGAAGGTCGCCTGCAGTAGGGACACGTCCAGAGGGAACACATCAGCATTCACCAGCCAGATGTTCTGCATGTGTGTAACTACACAGTAACAGAGTCTTTAACTGCTACATGTTGAACAAATGTCAGAGATGTCCCGCTGTCTGATGGCAGGTGGCGCTGTGTCTCCATCACCCTCACGGTCCTCGACATCCTGGTCTCCATGCGTCAGCAGCGTGAGCTGTTTGCACTGTGAAGGGTCCTTTTAATGAGCATGACGGTTGTTGGTGTTTCCTCTGCGTAAAGTGGCTGCTGGCTCCATGTCCCCACGTGGGGCTTGGCCCCTCCAGGCAGCCCCTGTTCCCCGGGGAACATCAGGCCCTCACAGCCAAACAACAAATGCAGATGCCGCTGTGTTTTTGCAGTAAACCGTCTTTCTAGTACCTGCAGTAGTGGAGGTAGTATTCCGACATAAGAAGGTCCCGCTGTGTGATATCTGTCCAGTCTCTAGTAGCTCAAGCTGTCGGGGAGATGGACTACAGCAACAATATCAATAGCTGAGTTGTGTCCCATTTGCGGTTACACAAACGCGTGTGTAGACGAATTTCTTTTTCTCACCATTAGTGGCAACAGACGGACGTTGGAGCCGACGGTATTTGTTGCTTCTGACTGGACTGACTGAATACAGCGCTTTGTTTAACATTGATTGTGTCCCACAGTCCTACTTCGTGTCGGACTACGACCCCACCATCGAGGACTCGTACACAAAGATCTGTTCTGTGGACGGGAAGGAGACCCGGCTGGACAGTAAGGCGATGTGATTTCATGCTGCACACTGTTTGTGTGAAGGCAGAGGGCGTGTTGCACGCTGCTGTGATATGACAGTGTGTTTGCTCCCTGGATGTTTCATTCCCTTGTTAGGACTTGTTACTGTACGCAGCCCAGTTTCACCACTCAGTGAATCATCAGACGTATGCAGATGCATCCTCTGTACCTACAGTCAAACATCACCAGGAGTCACATAATATGGGAGTAGTGAACAGAAGTAGTGTCGTCACATCTAACAGCTCTTACATTTGATTTATGAGCGCCGGTGTTTGTGTGCACGTTGGCGTGTGTGCTGTGGGTGGGAGCAGAAGAGCGTGACACACATCTTAAGTTAACCCCCATGCATCCGTTTCAACATGTAAGAGAAAACTCTACGTACCTTGTGGTGTGTAGCAATGTTGTGTTGTGAATATATAACGTGTGTGTGTGTGTTGTTCAGTCTTGGACACTGCAGGCCAGGAGGAGTTTGGAGCGATGAGGGAGCAGTACATGCGCTCAGGAGAAGGCTTCTTATTGGTCTTTGCACTCAACGATCGGAGCAGGTAGTGTGTGTGTGTGTGTGTGTGTGTGTGTGTGTGTGTGTGTGGGGGGGGGGGGGGGGTGTATCAGCGGATAGCAAAGGTGGGATTTCTTGTCTTTAGCGTGATAAACGTCTTTAACTGAAGGAAAGCGAGGACGGGGAACCGCAGTTGGTGTCGTTCCTTCTGCATGTTTCCTGCTGCCTTCAGACATGTACATGGCACAAGAATCTCCGTTTGTGGACACGAGGATCACTGATTCGTTCCTCTGTCCTCCGCCAGCTACCACGAGGTCCAGAAATTCCACACTCAGATCCTGCGAGTCAAGGACCGAGACGACTTCCCCATGGTGCTGGTTGGGAACAAGGCGGACCTGGAACAGCAGCGAGTGGTCCGTGGTGGAATAGGGTGGGGTAGACACATGCGTGTTGCTGGAGAATCACCTCGCTGAAGGCTCTCTGTGCTTTGTGTGTAGATCTCCAGAGAGAATGCCGTGGCATTCGCCAGAGAGAACCGGATCCACTACATGGAGGCTTCAGCCAAGAACCGCCACAACGTCGATGAAGTCTTCCTGGAGCTGGTGCAAATTATCCGGTACATCCTTGTTTCAGGAGGAACACATTCTGAACATAAGTCATGTCACGGCCCCTTTGGGAGCTAAAAACTCTTCTTCATCCACAGACGGTTTCAGGAGATGGAGAGTCCTCCTCCTCAAAGTCATCACACAAGGAAACAGAAAGGGGGGGGCTGTCCCTGTGTCCTCCTCTAAGCAACGTTACCATGGACACCAAATCCCTCAGAGAGAGCGAGAGAGAGGGAGAGAGGGAGGGAGGGGGAGGGAGAGAGATTAATTTGCACTTTTGATACTTTAAATCAGTGTAATCGTTTATTTTAGTGCGAGGTGTCAGTAACCATCTGGTGGAGAGAAGCGAGTGTGAAAGGGACATCAACTGACCAAACAGCTGTTAGTCACCTCTGTGGTGAATGATGACGTCCATGGGCTGTCATGTTGCATGCCTCCCTGCAGGGGGAAGCAGACCCCCGCTCCTGTTGTGACGGTGGGTTGAAAAGACCCCTGAAGGCAGCACGGAGGACGTGATCAGACGTGCGTACAGAAGCCTTCAGCTTGTGCAGTATTCATGACAGCGGAAGTTGCTTCTGCATTTGCACATTTCCTTTGACTTCAGTAGTCCTGGACGTTTATTGTTTTGGTGAAAGGTGGACTGCATTCTGGTACTTTGTATTTCTTTTGATCTTAATCTGCTTGTTACATCATCCGTGTCTTTAATAAGGGATAAATGTATAATAATGTTTTTTCGCAGACATCTAGTGGTGAAAGTTTACTCTCCAGTCTTCCTGGAGCTTCACCCTTCATCTCATGGGCTTCTTCAGATGATGGTTGGACTCCCTGGCGATGGTTCAGATGTCGTCACATGAGATAAATGTTGGACTTTAGTATAGCGATGTGTCAGGTGTCAACGGTCTGGTGGATGCGCTGTGATTGGCTGTCCCATGTGACGTCATAAACGGTGGAGCACCTGTCTCCTGGGGCCGGAGGTCCAGCTCCATAAGCAGTCCCTCTGCATGCTCTGCGTCCTGTTCAACACAAACTCTCCTCATTCTGAGATCGTGTGTTAACGTCTAAGCTCTCTTCATGACATCCGAGCCAGCTTCAGTCACCAATGACTTTTGATGTCCAACGTTTCAGACAAAGCGAACAGGTGGTCTGTGACGTTCAGTGGATGGATGTGCAGCTGCTTTGGTCTTAAAGGTGTGCAGCATTGTACCTTCTGTATCGTATGCAGTGTTTCCCTTAGGGTTTCAGCTTGGGGGAGTTCGCGTTAGGCCCTCTCACCTGTGTGCGTGTGTGTGTATGGGCACATTTCCGCGTATGGGGGCACTTGGTAGGGTGGGGGGGCGGGGCGCGTCTTGTTCAATGGTAGGGGAGACACTGGTATTGCATTGGACAGTTCTATATTATCTCCATTACAAACCTCACAGAACGGGCTGGCGCTCTGCTGCATGGCAGCATCCCCATTTATCATATGTGTAAGTCTCCCTCTGAGATCCTCGCCCCACCTCCCCGCGTCGGTGCAGTAGCCCCTATCCACCGGTGGAGGTCACTACGAGCAACCAGCTTCCCACACACATTCAGGCGAGACGTGTAGCCCATTCCCAGGGTGTGTGTCCTTGTATTGGTGGCGCCAGAATATAACAACACATCACTGCTTTTTATTTGCAACAAAAGATGAACGCACTATTATGCACACTAAGACAGTGAAAAATTTAAGAAAAATGAAATGAAATCTCTCATAATACATGTCCACTAATATCCACCATCTTCATTGCTTTGGACAGTGTTTATTTTTTCTTTAATAGAAATTCATGTGTGTGTATCTATATTACAAACTGCAATTCACATCATTCTATTTTCTATTGCAATGAAAGCCAAATCTCTTTTATACATTATTAAAACATTTACAACCTAACATCTCTTCCTGTTGTGTGTTCTGTGACCCATTGGCACAGTTTAGGGCTTCAGAAATGTCACAAATAGGATATTGGTCCATGACTTCTAGGTGCTACATCCTTTAGTGGAGTATGTCCTGTAATGGTAGAACATATGTAACCACAGTGTTTATTGTACAAACGGGTCCATAGACTGCATGCAGACATTGTGAGGCAGTGGGAAGGAACCGTGATCTCACAGATGATTCACATCTTATGGAATGTAAGAAGGTTTCTGCTGATTCCATCATGGAACCGAACTGTGTCTCCTGAGGTATAAAAACTGCTCTGCCTCTGTCTTTACATGATGCTCCTCACGGTCTACTGAGCACATCGAATGTGTGACCTTCATCACCTTGACTTTAATAGTCAAAATACAAACTCCAAGGGAAAAGGAACAGGGACCAGGCACAGCCAAGACTTCATTCAGTGAAGCGACCAGGGACAAGAGACACACAGGGGGAGGTGCAGGTGATTGAACACAGGTGGAAACCATCTGGGACACAGACAATGACGGGATGACAGGACAAGGCAGGAAGTGAAGTAACCCAGGGACACAAGAGGCAGGAAACTACAAAATGAAACAGGAAACAAATCCAAACCGTGACACGAGTTGTACTTTTGGTTTCAAGTATCTGTAATCCTTAGATCATCAGACAAAGAGAACCAGGGCGGAGCTCAAAGAGTCCACCCATCGGAAACAACGTTTCCCTTTTGGTCAAGAAGGACATTGCCCCTGTAGGAGGCCCACGAAGGGGGGGTTGGGGACGCTCTCGGGGAAGGCGGGACAGTCCGATGGACGGGCAGGTACAGGGGAGGGGAACATAGCTACCTGTGTACATGCATCTCACACCTGTCACACAACACACTGGAAGCAGGGAAGTGAAACACACACACACACACACACACACACACACACACACACACACACTCAGCTGCCTGCAATGAAGATGTGCTTTCTGCACCAACATTCACACACCCAGAACAACAGCAGGTTCTCACAGATATCATCGCTCAACCCGGAGGGAACAGAACCAGAACAACAAGAATCAAGAAAGCACAATTTCTTCAAGAAATCTGAACTACTAAATGCTAATAACATGCTAACTAGTCGGGAGAGGTGTGTTTTTAGTTGCTGTCCATTAGGAACTGATTCCACCATTTAGGAGTCAGGACATCAAACAGTGGTGATGTTGTTGAGTGTTCAGCTCTCTGTGAGGGAGCAACCAGACTGGACCTCATCTGAAGCCCACACGGTACAAAAGTACCAATGTTTGAAATGGATGTGGGCAGCTACTGGTAACCAGTGAAGGGAGACTACTGGTAACTAGTGAAGGAAGACGACTAGTAACCAGTGAAGGGAGCAGACTGGTAACTAGTGAAGGGAGACTACTGGTAACTAGTGGAGGGAGACTACTGGTAACTAGTGAAGGAAGACGACTAGTAACCAGTGAAGGGAGACTACTGGTAACTAGTGAAGGGAGACTACTGGTAACTAGTGGAGGGAGACTACTGGTAACTAGTGAAGGAAGACGACTAGTAACCAGTGAAGGGAGCAGACTGGTAACTAGTGAAGGGAGACTACTGGTAACTAGTGGAGGGAGCGGACTGGTAACCAGTGAAGGGAGTGGTGGCCCAGCATAGTGGGTGAATTTAGGTCAAGGACCAGTAGAGCTGCTGCATGGATGAGCAGCAGAGGTCAGGTGGCACTAGCAGGTAGACCTGAAAGAAGGAAGTCACAATAGTCCCGGCGTGAGATGACGCCTTCTGAGTGACGCATTCTAAAGCCTAGTTCATGCTTCTGCGTTTTCAGAGCGACGCAGACGCAAGCGTGTCCCTTGCGTCGCTTTTCACACCTCCTTGCGTCGTTGCGCGTGTCGAGCCATTTTTCTAGGCTTTCGACGCAAGCAACTCAAGCCTCCCGCAGCGCACCAGGCTGCAATTGGTCCGCTAACTACGTCCTTTACGGAGTCTCACATTTCCGCTTTCATAGCCCGATACCGCCATTATTAAAACGAAGGATGTTTACGAGAGAACGGATCAGATTGAAGAACTTTTGTGGGAAGAAATGCGTAAATATGAGCGCTTATACAAGCCGTCATTGGCGGGTTGGATTCACGGAGGGAGATCGCCGCAAACGCCGGTTTGTTGGTCGAGAGGAACAAAGTTGTGGAGGAAAATACGGGACAAATGTGTCCTTGATGAAAAGCAGCAGTGTCAATGCACGGGGCAATTAAGTCTATGATAAATAAACAAATAAATAAATAAACAGACGTGACTCAGAATGAGGAGAGTTTGTGTTGACTCTCTCGTCTTCAACAAAAACCCGTCACTCCGCCTGTTGTTCTGGCGGTGAATTGCTCTGCAACACACGTCGACGCAACGACGCAGACGCAGAAGCACGCGCCGGCCTTAACACCTTCGGCGACCGGCATGAAGCTCAAGTACTCTATCCCACAGCTGCTGACTCTCAACAACCGCTCCATTACAACGTGCATTGCAGCCATCAAAGAACTTGGAATTCATCGTCGCCCCCGTTAAATAAACAGAAGTTCCCGTTGAAAGTTTGTTTACCATCAGCCTGGCCAGCCTGCTTCAAACATTCCATCCATCTGGACCACTGTCGCACGTCTGCCGTGTCATCAGAGCAGTGTCGCTCTCGGTGCTAGCAACACGAGAAACATCGCGGGATCTCTGCACACTCAGTTGAGCAGCTTGGGAAACACCGCGAGATCTCGCTGCACTGAGTCGTTTGCCTTCTACAACCAATCACTGAGCAGTCTCCTAGATCTCCATGCCCCTGTCAAAACTAGAACTGTCAGCTTCTTACGCTCAGCCCCCTGGTACACCTACGAACTCCGGCAAATGAAAACAGCTGGGCGTGTCCTTGAGCGGCGCCTCAAGGCTTCAGGACTCTCTGTTCATAGACAGGCCTACCGAGAACATCAGAAGTCCCATTCAAGGTCCTTGAGAGATGCACGTTCACAGTTCTATTCCAACATTATCAATAACAGCCCTGCCACCTCCAAGCAACTTTTCTCTACCATAAATTACATTCTTAAACCCAAACTCACTGTCATTCAGAAGCCACAGATGAGAGGTGCAACAATTTCATCACTTTTTTCAGAAAAAAAGTAGACACCATCCGCTCCCTGCTATCCAGTTTCTCCACACTGCCTGTCCCGACTGCTGACCCACAGCCTGGGATTTCCAACCTCTCTGCTGTTTTTTTGCCATCTCACAGCAAGAAGTTGAGGACATCATCAAAAAGATGAAACCATCCACCTGTGCCCTGGACCCCTTCCCCACAGCCCTGGTCAAAAAACCCACCCAAGACCCAGTCTTTGCCAACTACAGGCCCATCTCCAACCTTCCATTCCTTTCCAAGGTGCTGGAAAAAGTAGTTGCCGCACAGCTTCAGGACCATCTAACACCAAACAACCTGTTCGAGAAATTTCAATCTGGTTTCCGACTTGCCCACAGCACAGAAACAGCCCTGGTCAGGGTCACAAATGACCTACTGATGACTGCAGACGCTGGCTCCCCATCTCTTCTCATCCTCCTGGACTTGACTGCAGCATTCGATACTGTGGACCACAACATCCTCCTCCACCTTCTACATTCCACTATCGGTCTTTCTGACCTCGTCCATCAATGGTTTTCATCCTACCTCACCGGGAGAACTGAGCATGTCGCCTTGAGAGAGGCTAAATCCCTGACACACAATGTCACCTGTGGTGTCCCTCAAGGCTCAGTGCTCGGCCCCACCCTGTTCGTTATCTACATGCTCCCCCTTGGCCATGTCATCAGCCGGCATGGAATTTCATTCCACTGCTATGCTGATGACACTCAACTCTTACCTCAGGACAAACCCAACCCCCTCTGCTGCCCTGACATCATCCACTCTGACCACCTGCCTGAAGGAGATAAAGGCGTGGATGAAGCAAAACTTTCTGCAGCTAAACAGCTTCAAGACTGAAGCCATCTTAGTCGGCACTCCGCACCAGGTTTGGTCAGCTGACATTACCAGCATCACCTTCTCCGGCCAAAATATTCCACTTTAAACATTAGTCACCAACCTAGGTGTTAAAATGGACTCCCATCTGACCTTTGAGGCTCACATCAAACATCTCTGCAAGACCTCCTTCTTCCACCTCAGGAACATCGCCAAACTCTTGCAGATGCAGAAAAGCTTGTCCACGCTTTTGTCTCCTCCAGGCTGGACTATTGCAATGCGCTCCTCGCCGGGATCCCTGAGAAAAGCCTCCAGAAATGCAGTATATACAGAACAGCGCTGCTAGGATCTTGTTGAGGGTGCGCAAACATGAGCACATCACCCCCATCCTCAAATCACTCCGCTGGCTTCCTGTCTCACTCAGGGTTGAGTACAAGGTCTCCTTCCTTACCCACCAGTTCATCCATGGTGGCTTCACCCCCCTACCTTAAGGAACTCCTCTCCCCACAGACCTCAACACGTACTCTCCGATCTGCCTCAGCACATCTTTTAAAACCTGTGGAATGCTCTCCCTGACCACCTGAGGACCATGTTTAGTATCTGTCGGGTTATAACCGTTAGACACCACTTTGCTGTTGTTTGAGGAGCCAGCCCGGGCTGTGAAGGCTGAGTCCTCCGAAGGATGCAGCCTAGGGAATTGAGACATAGCTAGTGTACATCTAGACCTGACCTTCTGTACACACTTCTGGCCAACAGTGACATGGTATTGTATGTTGATGGATCTGCCTCACAGGATCCACAGACTGGTTCAGACTCAGCTGTGTTTTGTTCTGGTCATCTCCCACATCAGCCCAGGCAGCAAAGCTCGCCGATACTAAATCACATGCTTCTAGCACAGCTATTGGAGTCCATTTTGTTGCCCATGGCTCTTGCAGACTGCAAATGTGTTGCTCACACCTCAGTCACTGATGACATCTCAAAGGGTGATGCTTGTGCCGACACAGCTGCAGAAGCTGCTACTCGACTTCCTTTTGACGCACCACAACTTGACCATATTATGGTTTCACTTCCCTCCTCTCACAGCTCTGCGGTCCATCTTGTCAGTAGAGTGGAAGCGACTTTGGTCCCCATCTTGCTCCAGATTTGTTGGCAACACCTGGCTGGGTCCTAATAGCAACCCTTGCCTCGCAAAATACTTCTTTTGTCATTATGCAAAAGGAACACGTGGGTTGGACCATGTGTCAAAAGGGGTGATGTTTTATTGATCAAATATGGTTGACTAAAGGGTTTTATGGTGTTTGCACAGCTAAGCATGCACAACTTGCGCCGCACACAACATAGGCAGATCCCTACGAGTACCAAGCAGCACATCCACCACCAACTCAACCTTTTGAGCACTTTTGTAACACCTCGTGATGGTAGGCACGTGGTCAACGTGGGTTCGTCTTTTTCCGTCTAGTAAACAAACCGCTGCTACTGTGGCATAGGCTTTAATCTCAGATAATTCCCCGGTGAGGCATTCCGACCTCACGACCTCTTGTGACAATGGATTGCATTTTGTTAACCAAGTAATGACTGAACTAAGTGCATACATTGGGATAAACACACTGCGCCTATCATCCAGCTAGTGAGGTCGTAGTTGAACAAGAGAACACTGAAAACCAAACTTTTTAAATGCTGCACAGACACAGACCTATAGTGGACAAAGCCCTGTCCTTGCTTCTGATGTACATACGAAGGAGGGAAAGAACAGTTCTCAGTTCTTTTGAAAGAAAATGACATGCTAACCGATGGCATTAACGCGTCTTCTATGCTGTCTGATACAAGAAAACAGGTTGTTGCTGCACTGCCAAAGGAGGCTGCGGGTCCTTTGCTCAATTTGCAGCCTTGTTGTGCAGGAGCATTTCAGACAAAAGAGCTGGAAAGCTGAGCGGTGGCAAGGGCCTTTCCAGATCCAGAAGGTGGCTGACAGGGTAACCTGGATAAACTCTGATGAGTGATTGAGGGATGAAGATGTGGACTTCACCTATACAAGCACCTCCTTGTTCCCTCCTCGGTAATCTGCCTGCCAGCAGACTAATATGGGGCAAATATGAAGACATTTGTAAAAATATGACATTTTCTGTATCATACTAGGCAGAGAGGTCTTTACACATGTCTGTTAGTCTTTGTCTGGAATTATTGAGAAAAGCATTTTTATTGCAGCTCAAATGGTCTTTTAGAACTGGCAACTATGGGGCTTTTACTTTGGAGGAATATCTAAATTTGTACAGTAAACATATATCATATACTGCACAAGAGTCTGGAATGTTTAATTAAACAGCTTTTATTTTGGTTACAGAGTTGACTGCAGTCATGGACAGCCTGTCAGTCTCAGTGATCGTAGCACTCATGAACGTTATGGCAGTCTCATTTATTCTTTAGTCTATTTCCACCAACAGAAATAGGATTCATAGTAGTGTATTTCCCCTTCCTCATCTCATGAAAACACGTGTTTTAAATAGGACTCATACTACTCTATTTTATACTACATTCATCGGCAGTGTCCTATTCCTGCCAGGGGGGTCATACATTTCTGCTCATAATTACACATTGATCACTGTATGAAATCTGATGACAATATTCTAACGACAGACGAGCTCCTGATAACGTGAGATAACGTTATAAATGTGCACATTGTGGTTCATAAGAAGCAGAATATGAACCCCCGGGGGGGTTTCAGGTGAGGAGACCGCCTGGGTCAGGCGCTGGATGGGGGGGTCAGTAGGACGCCACCTGGGCACATCTGTATCCTTGTTAACAGCAGCTCGTCTGTTATTACTGAAGTCACTTTATTGACTTTAGAGGCTGACTTGCATCCTACTGAGGCTGTGACGCGTTTATGGACTCAGGTAACATTAAACTTAGTATGAATGTAATTATTTTTATTATTATAATTTCCATGAATGCACTTTGATTAAACGCCTGTGAGACAAACCGGATGTTGTCTCACGCCGGTCTTTGCGCTAACTTTGTCCTTCGTGCGTTTCATGTATCCTCGGATTGTGTTACGCTGTGAGTCTGCGTATACTTCACTACATGTGGACACAATAAACTCCCCACCGACTGAGCGCACGCACGCACACACGCGCACGCTGAACGAAACCAGCGGAGGAAGACCGGTCGGCGCGCTTCCTCCCCCAGCAGGTATGCGGTCCAACAGGTTCGCGATGGGGCGGGTTTCACGGAAAGCAGCGGGGCGGTTGAGGAAGTGTCCACGGGACTGACTGCGATCGGGACATCCACGTCCCCGCCGGTGTCCAGAAGCCTCGGGTTGACAGACAGGCGCGTGTTGGGGCTCTGGCCGCAGGCTCCTTTGCGCTCTTCGATGGCCGCATCGTCCGCGCTGTGGGTCGCGCTGCTGTCGCTGCTGCAGCTGGGACACGCCGCAGGTAACCCGCCTCTTCTCACCTGCGGTCGGTTCGGCGGTGGCGCTCCAGTCGCTAAGGACGTCATCGCGGTTATGAGTTCACCATTCCGTGTTGCTCTTTTAGTCCGCGCTCGTCAGCTCTCATCCGGAACACAGGCGTCTTTTATTGATTTGACTTGCATGTTGAGTTAAATTAAACGGGGCAGATCACGTGACCACAGGGCCAAAACTGCTCTCACGGTAAACGCATCAGGCGCGAGCGCAGAAAGATTAACGCGAGTCAGCATCCGGTTTTCAGAATAAGAACATGAATTATATTCACATTTAGTATTCAACGTGTTACCTAGAATTTGTGAGTTAGGAAAGACAACTTAAATGTGACATAAAAAACACATGTAACTACACCACACTTTCTAAAGTATAAGTCTGGTATTTGTAAAGAGAAAAACGTCATTTCTGAGTATTTGAAGTTTGATAAAATCAATTTAATCAATAGTTCCAAATAATGAATGATGTACATGTGTTCAGGACCTCTCTGACTACTCCTATACCAAATTGGAAATCATTTTATTGTACGAATAAAGCTATCAATTCATTTTATTTTCATTTTCATTCATTTTATAAATTGGAACATTTGAAAAGCAAATATCTATCTAGTATATAATATTTGAGGTATTATAAAATTAATTTTCTTAATTACAGGAATCAGGAAACATTTATTGCCAAAATATGTCAGACACAAGGAATTTGACTTGGCGGTTGGTGCGTGACAGTAGACAGTAAGACAATAGACGACAAGACAGCAGTGCACGAGTAATAAAATAAAATGCTAATGCTATCGGTTAGTAGTATAAGGCTATGGGTTAGTTTAAAATAAAAGAATAAAAGTGAAAGTAAAAAAATATTTAAAAAATAAAGACAATGATTGATGTGTGTTCAGGACATCTCCGACGTTCTGGAAATTAAATATTTTTACTGCACCAATTGATAAATCTTCCAAAGTAAATGTTATTCATTTGAACAATTTAAAAGCTGATATCTGAATATTTAAGGTATTATGAATGTACTTTTCAAAGAGGCCCATAGTGACTCTGAAGGAGCTGTATGGCGTCAGTTTAATGACAAAACTCACATGCGAGGAAACGTCTATTCGAGTGAATTTCAGGTTTTCGCAAGCGTAAATTTCTTCTGCGCACTCAATTTTAGCAGGCGCGAGAGGAAATTCAACAACTGCGAGCGCAGGGACTGACATACTCTCTCGCGAAAACTTGATCTGCTCGCTCGAAAACTTGATCTGCTCGCTCGAAAGTATGACTTTTGGCAGTGTGTGGCCAAAGGAGGACGGGCTCTTCTCTGATTGGTCCTGGTTTACGCTTGCGAAAACCTGAAATTCACTCGAATAGACGTTTCCTCGCATGTGTGAGTTTTGTCGTTAAACTGACGCCATAGAGCTGCAAAGATCCACATCTGAGGAACAGAAACTATTAGCCGTGTACTTTATGGGAGCCACTAATCTGGCCTTTATGAAAGAGTGGCAAGAAGAAAGCTGCTGTGGAAAGTCAACCATAACAAATCCTGTTGTTGGAGAACAGCAACCAGGGGAAGAAGGTGCTCTGCTCAGATGAGACCAGGATGGAACCTTTTGGCCTGAATGCAAAAGGCTGTGTGATGAGGGAAAGATGGATGGAGTCAAAAACAGGATAATACTTAAAGAAAAAATGATGGATTCTGCAGAAGGCTTGAGACCAGGGTGGAGGTTCGTGTTGCAGCAGGACATTAACCCTAAACATACAGCCAGAGCTACGATGGAAGGGTTTGGATCAAAGCATGTTCATGTTTTAAAATGGCCCAGTCATCAATCCGATTGAGGATCTATGGCGAGATTTTAGTCTCCATCCAATCCAACTGAGCTTCAGCTTTTTGGATCAGGACATCTGTCACCAACCACATTTAAAATCAAACCATTTTATTTGAGAAATACATTTTTTTAGAACTTTGAAATTATGCAACCATGAGCATCAAACCTTTTCACAAATTATAATAAGAAACAAACAAAGAAAAACAATAAGAGACAACAATTCCAATTTGACTTTAGCGCATTTCTAAGACTTGCTGAGCCGATTTGAAAGCATTGGCTGTGGAACAAGCGCGAACGGATGTCGACTGAATCTAAATTGCTATAACTCATACTTCCATTGCTATAACTCATAAGTTGTGGATAGAAGTGAAATTATACTGTAAAAATGGGATTGGCGTTAATTAATATCTACTAAATAAATAATAGTAACTGTTACATAATAAAAAAGTACAGTTTTGAATTACATTGAGCTGAATTTAATAAATGCTGTTTATTAATTACATGTTACTTAAATTTGCTGGAGTAAAATCAGCTGTGAATCACTGAGTAGGCTTTAATTATATTTTATGAGTAAAGTTTAATATGCAATGAAAATGATGAATTTGACTCATTTAGAGTACGTTGTTTTCAATTGAGTGACACTTCCATCCCACGCATTTTGAACCACGTGGACATCTGCTGAACAAGGGACGCTGTTCTCCTGAAGGTAAGACCTGTGTGATTATCGTTACTGAACAAACGCCTTATAACCACGTTGTTGAAGCAGTTTAACATTCTTCTGCTCTTCTGTAAAGTTAACAAACATGCCAACTTTACTGCGCTGTAAATGTATTTAAGTCATTAAGCTGACGTTTTTTTTTTAATGTTGGTTTTATGTCGTCATGTTGTTTCATAGTTTCCGTGACAAGCTAACCTCCCTAGCTAGCTAGCTTTAGCTAAGAAGCAGCACATATGAGTTATATGAACATCCCTGCATGTTGTTTTGTAAACAACTTTAACATGACAAACTGTTAAAAGCAGCCGGGTTTGACCAGGTGGCTTTAATGGTCGGTGAAACTAACTAAACGTTAACGTTACATTTCTGGAAAATAGTCAGTGAAATAAACTAAAGGCCTGCGCGTGCGTCTGCGTCGTTGCGTCGACGCGCTCGTTTCACTTCCTGGTTGTAAAGTCCTGCGTGTGTTGCAGAGCGATTCACCTCCAGAACAACAGGTGGAGTCACGTGTTTTGTTGAAGACGACCTAGAGAGTCACGTCTTTGTGTTTCGAAGTTGTTTGTTGCTTTATTTATTTATCATAGACTTTGACGCCAATGACGGCCAATGACGGCTTGTAGAAGCCTTCATATTTACACATTTCTTCCAACGAAAGCTCTTCAATCTGCTCCGTTCTCTCGTAAACATTCTTCCGTTTAATAATGGCGGTATCGGGCTGTGAAAGCGGAAATGTGAGACTCCGTGAAGGACGTAGTTAGCAGACCAATCGCAGCCTGGTGCGCTGCGGGAGGCTTGAGTTGCTTTCGACGCAAGCCTAGAAAAACTAAACGTGAAAACTAAAAAAACTAAATGTGAAATCTCACTATGTCCTTTGTGTTCACAGGTTTACCATTTTTCCTGAAAAGGCCATGTTTCTGAATTTGTCAGAAGAATCCCACATCTGTATTCTATGTAGAAAGTCCTAAAATGAACAACTGTGAACATCATTTTCTTGCGTGTTTAAATAGAAATAAGACACTGTAGAGAATAGCTTTGAACTCAGATGTACACTTGCTAATGTAAGTAAATGTAATCAATAGTTTCAGTTTAAAGTTCAAGTTTTAATCTAGTGGAAATGAAATAACAGTATGAACATTTTGTGACGGGTTTTCTTCACATGTATCTTTTATAATGTATATATTCTAAAATCTATCCTATCCCTGCATCTATGTCAACTGCCTGTGTGCCTGCAAGACTTGGAATGCACTTTTAAGCCACTTGTCATCAGGTGTCATCGGCCCTCCAGACATACTGAACTGACCACGCTTAAATTCATCATAAGGGTTGTTCAGTGAGTGACTTAAAGCCTGGGAAACTGCAGTTAGAAAAGGGAAATGCTGTGTAGAGATCAAACAAGACAAGGTTCTTAGTTCAGAAACAAAGTCAGGTATTCTGGAAAAGGTAGCAGAAGGTTGTCCAAAAGTCCAAAGCTCCAAAAGATTCATTGCCAGAAAAAAAAGTTAAGACACAGAGGAGAGGCCAACTACATACCTGAAAATACCAACGGGAGAGGCCCCAGACAAATTAGAAAAGGAGACTGTCACTTTTAAGTGAAGTAAAGAAGCAAAATTATTGTGCTGTGATAAAGGACAAAAGGGCAAAGACTTTTTGACTGCGAAGACAAGAAATCGTGGGAAAGGAATTAGGAGTTGAAAGAGAGATGGCCAGCATCGTTCACAATGGATAAGGCTAGTAACTTTTGTAATCAATACGTCAGTGATTGCCTATTTAATTAATGATATAATCCCCTATCATTAGAAACCTGCAAATAAAGGATGCCATACAAATTCAAAAAAACACACACACCACAAAGTTATAATGTAACATGTAATGTACTATTTTGTTTTTTAAAGATCAATGGGGAATTTCTGAGAATCACAACCGCGATTCCTGGCTACCTTGGACAAGCAACCACAGCAAGCTGATTGAGACAATCAAACGAGGGAAGACTTGTCAGAATGAAGTCCTGATCAATTGTGATGTATTGATACATACATCCATACTTGATCATTATCACATCAATAATAATTTAAAAAAGAAGAAATTGTGTTCATTTTCATAACATGTTCCCTTGAGGAGTTAGATTAAATGTTGGAAGATATACTGCACGTTATCTATTGACTGTGAGAGGGCTTTTAACTGGTTTGCTCAAACTAGAGCTGAGACGTCTGACAAAACATTTTTTCAGATCATGTCTATGAACTCAATGTAGCAGGATGCTGGTTTTGCACAGGTGAATTGTTATTTGCAACACTGCATCAGTATAACTGTGCATAAGCAGTACACTGCATGAACCAGTACACTGCATTAACCCGTATACTTCCCAGTAGTAGCTGAAAGCCTCTGTAAATCTCAGTTACTGTAACTCCAAGTACCTATTCGTATATTGTACAGTGTCTGCATTTTTTGTAAAGTGGCAAAATTGGACAGTATAACATTTTTCTGTGTTTGCACTGTAGAGCCTTGAGGTGAATCTGAGTGTCTGCTGAAGTGCATCATTCTGTACCTCGAGTAAACCTGAAGGTCTTTTGAAGAGAATTTTCCTGTGTTTATTCCTATTATGTAAACGAGATCAAACATTGACTGTGACAGAATGTTGACATTCTACTTTTCTATCACAGAAAATATTTGTTGTGACATTTTATTTGAAATAAAGCAAAATATAGAATTGTATTGGACTACTGTCTTGTCATGTCTGAAGAACATTTATAAATTAAGCTATAATCATACATTTTAGTTTGTACTGAATGAGAAATGGAACTTGATGAAACCTGATAAATTTGCCTGTAACAAAATTAGGGCATTTTAACTACACCAAAGTAAAAACCTTGACTTCGATGGAATATTAAATACAATTTTTTTCCTAAATGAAAAAATCAAGTGGTAACAAAGCTAAAATGGTGTATGGTTGTATCTTTTTTTTTTGTATCTTTTGTATAAAATTACATTTTTATCTTGGGTAAAATAAATATTTATTATTCATGTTAAATTACAATTTTAGGTTTAAACCAAATACAAAATACAATTTGAGAAAAGGTAATAAATTTAGCTTTAACAAATTAGAGCAATTTTTTAAAATTTGTCCAAAGTATCATTTTTTTCAGTGTACTCATAGAAATTTGCACAAATTAATTTTAACCTGCTTTACTTATGTATGACGATGTGTTTGTTAAGTTACTGTTACACTAAAATGTATTGAGTGAGTTAGACATAGAAAAATTGTGGCAACAAAGTGACACGTAATTTTATTTTAAACAATTACTTTAAGTCCAGAAGGGCAATGGCAATGTGTTGAATTAACTAACAATGTGCTAAAATGTGAGTTGATATAACTTATTTTATTCAGTAAATCAAATTCAATTTGACCTATATTAGTAGTATATAACACTCAATTTCACCCAAATAATCAGTAAATGTAAGTTAATTTCACCCAAATATCCAGTATCATAAATGCTTTTTGATAAGTAAACATTAATCAATTTTGCTTACTAAATATCTTTAGTGCCGCCCCATGTTTTATGTATAACACCTTAATTATTCAGAAATTAGCCTTTCAATTGTAAAAATATAGAGCATATACGTTGGATGATCATCTAATATATAAATTGTATGAAATTATTATAACGAAAGGTAATTTTTATAATACTTCAAATATTTTTTTTTTCATTTTTGATATAAGGGTATTCAGAAAGTTCCTAAAGGTATCAGTCATTGTTCGGAGCTGTTGATAAAACCCCTTTTTATCAAAGCCCAAGGCTTCAGAAATGAGTTTTTTGAACGTACAAATGTAGGACTCTTATTTTGGAAATGTCTAAATAAGTACTGTAAAATTATCTCATTTTCTGTTTGCCGAGAGATCCTGAACACATGTATATCAGTCAGAACTATTGAGCTTTTATAGTACAATTTGATTAAAACGTCAGATTTCAGTATGGTTGAAGTCTAAGATGTCCTGAACACACATACATGATTCCCTGTCTGGAATTATTGAGTAAATCGCTTTTATAAAAAACTCAGAAATGACCCTTTTCTCTATACAAATGTAGGACTTCTACTTTAGAAAATCTCTCAATTGGTACAGTGAAATGTTTTGTGCCTCTGCGTATTCTGCAGGAGATCCAGTGGTGGTGGGGCAACAGGACGCCACCTCCTTCCTGTCCCGCTCGCTGCTCTACAACAGCTGGGACTTTGAGCTGGTGGCGACCGGCAATCTGGAGAGGGAGTGTCTGGAGGAGGTTTGCAGCTATGAGGAGGCCCGGGAGGTGTTCGAGGACGACACAAAGACGGTACTGCTGCTGTAGTGAGCGTCTCCATACCCCCTTTGAAGAATCCCACATCTGTATTCTATGTAGATAGATCCGCAGGACAGACTCCACAGCGTTAGTAGCACACTGCTGTTAGGCTTACCTGTGGAAGGGTTGGGAACCCGTTTCAAATTCCCTATTATACCGATGCACGGCCGTAATAACTGTTCCACACTTCAGCGTGCAGTACATGTTATATTACATTGTTCACTGAATCCCGTTAAGCGTGCAGCGGTCGGAGGAATCATGACTCCATCTCAATACACACAAGACAAGTAGCTAATAAAGTTATAACTTTATAACAACAATTCATAACCCTCAACTTTCATGGGGTAAAACACCCCGACAGCAGCTTGTGACACATAAACAATTTGTAACTGTAATAACTGTACATTTATAAAATGACCCCGCCGCACTGCATGCTGGGTACAGCTGCAGTTTAATAGAACAACTGTTTACCTAAATATACTTTACGAATCATTCCTTTTGCCTTGAAAAAAATACTCTTGAGGCTTTTTCACGTTGGCTGAAATGTTTATTTGTTTTCCTATTTAATGAGTAAATTATGAAGTCTTCTCTTGCTTCCATTTTTAGGAAGCATTTTGGACCAACTATGTGAACAGTCAAGGTAATTTATTATCAAATAATTATGGTTATATTAAAGTAGAATATGATATCTCACACAGCTTGGCACAGCTGAATGTGGTGTTTCCACTGAAAATGTACACACAACATTAATAACTTAAATGTTGTAAAAATGAATGTACCACTTTAGTTATCAGTGTGTTGCTAATATTGTTTTGTTGCTACATGGGGAAAGATGCATTTTTTGTTACAGTGCTATTGAATGCTACCACATGTAGCATCTTTGGTCATTCATATATCTCATGCTCTTTTTAAACTACTTCATAATGAAATGTTGTGTGTAACATGGTCACTCTGAGAAGCATCGCTTTCATGTCACTGCGCTCTGTCTGTGAAGAGAATTCCCCCCGAGTGGATGTGTCTGGGCTGGTGGCCGGCATCGTGGCCATCCTGGTGTCTGCTGGGATCGCCACCGTGCTGGGAATCTACTGCTACAAAAACAAGAAGAAAAGTGTAGCAGGGTCGGCGCGGTAAGTCCACTCATGGGACACGAGCCGTCTTTAACGTGTTACCCCAATAATTGTGGCTACTACAACCAAAACGGAAAAAGGAAAGGACCAGATCTACAGGAACCGGTCCCCAAACTGTTGATCTTAATCATACAGGCGACTACAATGTACGAGACGAAGGCACATCTCCAAACGTTTCACAGCAAGGGGAATGACCCTGGTGTTAATATGATTATTAATTGCGTGTACCACGAAACAAGAACAAAGGTGAATTATGCAGTCACATTCACTACAACTAAATAAATAAACATTCTGATATAATCACATTTGAGACTGGGTCACAAAAATAATGTTCTTCTATTGTATTATATTTTATTCTATTACAATGTATGTATGCAACCTATTCAACATTCTGTTTTCTTATAGTTATGACTCGCTATTTAGTTTCTGGCAAAGAAATCCTTTCACTCTGTAAACAAGTCAATTTCATATCAGAATACAATTCTATCAGCAATTTGAGTGAGAAGTGATGGTTGGCATGGCAACAGAAAGTTCTGGTCTCACAGATCTCTCCAGTACCCCCATCTGGTGAGCATTAGACATCGACTTTAACAGGAAGTGAAAGCCATGAAGTCCCTTCCATTGAGCACAGTGATGCTGCTTTGGGTGGCTGGTTTAACTCTCCTGACTTGTCTTCTGTGTGCCGGTCCAGAGCTCCGGTGAGGATGGCGGCAGATGGGCAGCCCGCCCTAGAGACGGTACCCCTGGCCCCCCTCCCGGCTCTACCCAGCTACAACGAGGCTCTGCACCGCAGCGGACAACACGATGCCCCACCACCTCCCTATTCAGGGTAAGATGCTCCAGTCGGATCAGAATCAGAAACATTTATTTGCATGGCTCCAGGTCAGTGTCTAAGATCCAGCCCGAAACCTACAAGAACAGTAAAAAAAAGACAAAGCTACATTAGTTACAAAAGGTACAGCATGTTAAAATACACCCGTTATTCCCCATTTTAATAAACATACACTTTTCTGGTCCTTACGGTAACTAAACATATTTCAATGAAACAGAAGCACCTGGAGATTCAGCAGCTTTCCATTCCTCAACACCCTGTTACATCATGACACATAGCAAGAAGCATAGCAAAACAACAAAAGGGTTATGTCAATGTAGTTGTGTATCAGGACGAGTGGCAGCTAAGTGGAGCGCAGACAGGTCAACATTAACGTGTTAATCTATGCGATTAATGTGGCCGAGATTAATGCGTTAGAATATTTTAACGCAGTTAGAGTTAGAGAGTAAAACAAACAGAGGAGAACTGTGCAGAGGAATGACTCCACGTGTCAAACAGAAGGGGGGGGCAAATGGACCACTTTACGCACTGCTATGCTAAATTAGCTGCTAGGCTACTTCCATCTCAACATCTAACATTACCCTGCGCGACACATCGTCTGCAGAGACACCAATGTGTCCCTAAAAATGCAATTAATTAGTGAATTAAAAAAAATCTTTTGACAACCGTAATCTGAGCAGGAAAAAGGCGCAGAACCAGCGACGGCCTCATAGTGTGTGTTTGATCGCGGCCTCATTGTCTGGGATTACACTTCGGATCACAGTGGTCCTCAGTGTGCTGCAGCCTGTCTCTGTGAAGCCTCTTTGCCTGCTGGACGTCCATGTCCCGTCACGCTCACAGTCTCTCGTTGACCACAGGGGGGCGCCGTCCGAGCCTGCTGATCCCGGAGACAACGCATGAGAGGGATCCTTGTTACAGCTGATGGGCGCTGGTGGTTAAGTGAACTTTGTTTTGTGTTGAATAGTATCTATAAGTGAAGTGAGGACACAAGACAGCATGGTGTGCACATTGTCTCCACTACATGTGTGAAGGGCGCACAGCTCAGGGTGTGGTTCATTTCTGTGGTTTCACTGTTGCTACATCAAACTGTGTCAATTCATCAATGCATAGATACTGTATGGTCTGTGTTTTATTTAATAAATGACATAAGAAAATACACATGCGTCCAGTGTTTTTATGCATCAAATGCAGCAAGTAACCAGAACATGTGTGCAGCTGCCTGCACCCAGAACATGTGTGCAGCTGCCTGCACCACCCAGAACATGTGTGTAGCTGCCTGCACCCAGAACATGTGTGTAGCTGCCTGCACCCAGAACATGTGTGCAGCTGCCTGCACCATCCAGAACATGTGTGTAGCTGCCTGCACCACCCAGAACATGTGTGTAGCTGCCTGCACCCAGAACATGTGTGTAGCTGCCTGCACCCAGAACATGTGTGTAGCTGCCTGCACCATCCAGAACATGTGTGTAGCTGCCTGCACCCAGAACATGTGTGTAGCTGCCTGCACCCAGAACATGTGTGCAGCTGCCTGCACCCAGAACATGTGTGTAGCTGCCTGCACCCAGAACATGTGTGCAGCTGCCTGCACATCATGTTGTAACTTGCGTGTGTTGAAAGAGCAGCTGGCTACAGAAGCTGGGCTTCTTCAGCTCACTGCGCTGCTGTGCATGACAAATGGTGTGTGTGTGTGCGCGTGTGTTGGCGTGCGTGGGGGCAGCAGAGGTAGAACGCCTGCCCCGTCACTCCCGTTGAAAATGGCGTCTCGCGAACCAAATGAGCGAAAGTGTGTCTCCTCCGGCTGAGAGACAGCTGGACCGCCCGGCTGCATCTGTTCCACGGTCCACCCGCTCCACGCAGGAGACAATAGACGGTGAACGACACGGGCAGCGGGGAGGAGGGAGGAGGTGCTCCTGGCTGCTGTGCCCCCCCCCCCCCCCTCACCCGCTCCTTCTCCTCACAGTCTACAGGCTCGCCAAGCGGAGAAATAAACAGAGGCGAGCGCCGAACAGAGGAGACATTCCTCCCTCCCCTCCCCCTCACTATCTGCCCATCTTCATCCAGTCCCTTCCTCCATGGAGAGGAACTATCCCGCTGCAGGCTTCGGGGATCTGGGGGCCGGGGCGGGATGGACTTACGACCGATCGGCCAAAGCGAGGTAAGCTGCGGGGCTCGAACAATGCGCCCCCGCTGCGCGGAGCCGCGCCACGGTGACCGGGCGCAGGTAGAGCCAGCCCATTGTCACCGGGGACAGGGGAGGCTGCGGGGGGTCTCCAAAACGCACGGAATGCGGTGGAAGGTTAATAGTGGGAAGGAGAAAGGGGAGAGGGGGGAGGCGGAGGGGGATGGGTTTGCTGGGAGCAGATCCAGTGTGTCATTTAAACATAAATGACAGGTCCCGCGATGGTTCCAGCGCGGCATTGTCTCCGCTGCAGCTTTGTCCCGCTTCTGACATGACAGTGCATGACAGGCTGCCCGATGATTGATTGATTGATTGACTAATTGGCTCCTCGTCGGAGCAGTGCGATGCGTTTAGCTCCTGTCGGCTACTCAGCAAATGAAACCAACCCGCATCACTGCGTTCGGTGGAGGAGAATCTGATCTGCGTTCATTAGAAAAGGTGCAACGAGACGAAACAGTACACGCGCAGCTGGGCGGCAACAGCAGCTCTGTGGACACATTCCTAAAGGAACCTGTTGGGCTTTAACGTCCCCTTATGAGCCGTAACACTGCTCCAGTATGGAGTCAACGTGATGTCCATGTTGCCCTTGGTAACGTCTTCCTGCCACAGTAACCACAGTGTGACCGTGAACGCGTCGCTGCAGCGCAGCGGCTTCTCCGTGACTCGGTACCCGCTAGCTAGCGGCTAATTGCCCCCAAAGACGTCACAAAAGTCCACACGTATGTCCACCTGGCGCCACCACGTGACGGACCGAGCGGGGTTTCCGGACCCGCTGTGGTGTGTTGGAATGAGGTAGCATGCTAACGTTAGCTAGCTCCTCCTAGCTCTGCTGCACGTTAGCGGTCGCCTTGACAACCACATCAGTCTTCCTCTGACCTAATATGGTTCCATCTGCGGAACCTCGTTCGCGTTCCGATTCATGGCATTATTTTAGAAGTCTCAAATGAAAATAGAGCAACGGGAAAGGAAAAGCGATGCGGGAATGCTGTAATATAGTTGCTTTAGTAGCGTACGTGGTTGCATCACCCTCCAACACAGGTTGTTGTCTGAGTCATTGCCTCTGTGTGCAGAGGAGAACAGTTGATCACAGGAGATCACATGCATGCATTCGGGCGTCTGTGTGTTCCTTTAATCAAAATACCCGGCTGCTCTGGACAAACCTTCTCCTCACTGTGTGAATCCTTGAATGTTTGTTCTGATGTGCAGATGTTACAGCATGGTAGCTCCCGTAATTTGTGCAGTGAGGCTGGAGGAATCCAGTTTGCCATGGCCATGCTATCAATGCAAAAAAGGTATCAAACACACATTAGTACTTTGCAGTTAAATATTAACATTTTTTTCCAACACTTTAACATTATAAGAACATCCTATTTATACAATTCATTATATTAATTAATTCATACATATCAAATATTCAGTATGATATAAAAATACCTCACCATATGAATATACAATATAAATATCATGTATATCGTAGATAATATGGCGTGGTGGTGCATGTAGTAGATTGATGGTTGGTGGACCAAACCCTGGCTGCTGCATGTCCCGTGTCCTGGGAAAAATGTGAGCCATGGGTTAAAAATCCAATGTAAGTCGCTTTGGAGAAACACGTCAGCTAAATGTAATTTATTATAAATGTATTTATACATAATACATGTACACAGCAAATTTCAGAGAGTTAAATTGATTCAATTTTAACTCTAAGCTGGTGTTTATATTGTCCCGATCTTGTCAGTGTTAAATCAACACTCAACGAAGTGTTAACAATTTATCTCGGAATAAGCAAATAAATCTGCTGAGTGTTAAATACACCTGTACGTGGAGTTAAACCCAACCCCAACCAGTGTGGCACTGGTGTACAGTTACATTTCAAGTGTCGCAAATGAACCTGATCAGTGTTAAATACACTCTCTGTAGAGTTAAAGACCCAGGTCCTTGACACTCCAGCTCTTTTGTACAATTGACTCTGTAACAGTTGAATCAACTTTTTTAAGTTCCTCTAAGAAGCTAGTTTGTTGGGGAAACACCCAATCAAGGATGTTGAGGAACGACTAAGCCCCACAAAACTTCACACAATCAATTATTTTGGATAAAATTGCCTGTTTTCATCACCCTCGTTGTTGCGTTACCGCTGTGTGTCCGTCGTCCAGCTAGCGATGTTAGCGTTCCCTAATATAGCTAGCTTGAGTTATCCGTGTATGTCCTGATGTTTTGGGGTTTTAATTTTTCCAAATAAGTGCTTTGTGTCCCTTACTCCCGTATCTGTTCATGCTGGATTCTGTCCCCGTCGATTTCAATAAGCAAGCATGGGGAGCCATATACGGCGTTAGCACGACTAGCATCCAGCTAGCTAAACCTTCCAGTGTAGCGGCCTCTACAGCACGCCGGTCCGTTGTCTGATAGTGAGGTCTGGCTGATCTGGGTCCAGGTGTTTTACCTCTAGTTTCTCTGGCAAAGTGATTCTCTCAAACGAGTCTTGGAGGAGAGATTTTACCGAGTTTGAGTCGGGTCTTACTGCTCGTGCTCATTGCCATGTCATTAAAGCGGCGCTCAGGCTGAATCTGAGTCTGAGCCTTCACACCTTCCAACGCAACTAAAGACATACCTTGACTAAAAAGACTAACAAATTGTAGCACTTAAGAGCCATTATAAGTACAATTTATCATTACTATAGCAATTTGTAAATTAAAAGCTTATTTAATGAAATTGCACTTTCTTGTTTCTTGTTCTTTTGAGTTTGTATCTTTATGGTTAAAATGCACTTATTGTAAGTCGCTTTGAATAAAAGCGTCAGCTTAATGACATGTAATGTAATGTAACCTATTTTAGGATGCCAATTTTATTTTGTATATAGCCCAAAATCCAAAATCACAAATTTGCCTCAGAAGGCTTCACAGCCTGTAAACATGCAACATCCTCCGCGCTCAAACCCTCACATCCTCGGAATGAGGCTTTAACACAACACTAGTTATTCTGCCCACACAGCCTCCTAATGGCATAGGCATTGATTTAGAATTAGGCAGTGTTTATATCACTCACTGACTCAAGGCAGTTGAATGATAGCCGAGGTATCCATGTGACGGTTTAAAAATGATGAGACACTGTATTCATGAGAGACTCCCTTCAATTAAAGTTGTGTTTTGCTTAGGGCGACTGTGGGTGAGTGGGAGCACGGTCGTCCTCCTATCAGAGGGTTGTCGGTTCGACCCCATCATTGCTCCTGTAGCTGTGACTACAGTGTGTGAATGGTAGTTACTGATGGGCAGGTGTCACTGTGTGTGGTTCTCCTGTCATCAGCGTATGAATGGGTGTGAATGAGTGAATGATGTCATGTAGTGTTAAAGCGCTTTGAGTGGTCAGAAGACTAGAAAAGCACTATACAAGTACAGTCCATTTACCATTTATAGGTATTTCTGGAGATGATCGTGATTGCAAAGTGTGATTTAGAAACTTCCTCCTTCAGGTCCCTTTTCAATGGACTTTTCTGTGAAGTTAGAGACATCATCCGTCCAATTATTTTCATACTCATATATATAGGAGATTTAAGAACCGTCTTAATAAGGTAAATTGACTAATACACTGTAGGCCCAACAGAACAACCAGTCCTGTGTGAGCAGACCTGTTGTAAATAAGGGCAAGCATCTAAGTCATACCTAATACCATGTGTTCCTCAGCCTCGTCTATGGGAGCTCAAGGTCGTCCCACCCAGACTCAGAGCTGCTCCATCGGCAAGCCTATGGCAGTCCTCACACCCTCCAAGGCTATTCAACCAACCACCACCCAGGGAGCTCCAGGCAGGGGGGGGGCTGGGGTGCTGCTGGACGCACAATTGGTAAGGATCGATCAAACAATATACCTGTAGAAACAAATCTATAAATATTGTATTTCTTTCAATATATTGTACGGTCTTGTATTTGGGCATTACTATTAGTTGTATTTAAGGAAATGTACATTGACATTAAATGTTGCATAGTTTAGTTGAGAGAAAGTAGCTAATATTTTTTATTTTGAACATTTCCAACACAGTCTTGTTGACCTCTATGGCAGAGTGAATGTGAAAGTGGACGGGTGTCTCCCCATAAGAGTCAGCCCTGGGGTAGACTGGGGAACTATACATGGTGTACCCAAGTGGCAAACTCAGGCTGTCTGAAGGCAGGGTCGAAAATGAAAAAGGCATCCAGCTGCATGCAGTTGCTTACAAGCATCCAGACAATTTTCTACCACTATATTTCTTCCAGGGCAAATTTTTATTTTCGGAAGGTTACTCTAGCCCCACCGGTTACCGGTGTTAAAGTAGACGTTAGCTCCTTACCGTTCGAGCCAAATACTGTTTTTATTATGAAAGTAAAGATTTCTGTAACCAGTCGGTAGAAGGACGCTAACGCCTGTGAATTAGCCGTGCTGTAGGCATGACCCGGACAGATGTGCATCGTCATTGTCACGATTTGTTTTTCGCGGAGATTAAACATTGGTTCAAGGGTCGCCACCGACCATCAATGCTGACAACATATCCGGGAAGCCAATTCTGGCCTTTCACAATAAGATATCCCTCTTTACCTCCAAATAGCGCAATAAAACCTCTTTTATATCGTCGCCCCGGCATTGCCCGAGTGAGGCGCATGCTTCTGCGTCTGCGTCTTTACGCACCGTCGTGTCGACGCACTCGTTTCAAGGCACGCAAGGGACACGCAAGGGACACGCAAGGGGCTCTTGCGTCTGTGTGTCCTTGCGTCTCTCTGAAAACGCAGAAGCATAAACTAGGCTTTACTACTTTCTCAACATCAAAGTAACTTTCCTGCAGTAGAAGACATGTAAATATTTATATTCATGAGATTTGACACAAAGATTCGTTCACATGTATGAAATGACATCACTTACGTTTCGCGGGTGATCGACAAAAAAAAAAGACCGTAAACAGCGTCAAACTACGAGTGTCCGGGTTATGCTAACATTAGCTTTATCTGTCTTTCTTAGCTTTATCGGGTCAGGAGACAGTCACGTTAAGTGTGAAAATTACAGAAAGACATACATTTCTATAAAAGTAGCTGCTATTCCTAATCAGTCTACTAGGGTTCACACTCTGTGAGTGAGCGCAGGGGATCAAAGCTGGTAGATCATTGCCATTAAAATCACATCAGGTCACCACGCCACATGCGTCAACCGCAGGAGCTAACAGAAAACTTGGTAGTGCTAATTATCGATCCTTGCTTACTAACGGACACATTTAATTTCATTCAAAAGCAACCCTGGCTAACTCCATTCAGTGCAAGTCATCCAAGTTAGGTAATGACCAAAAAGAGAATGTTGTGACAGTTCCCCCCTTCTGACAGACTATAGTCTTGTTTGTTTTTTTAGGGTTAGGGTAACTTCCCGAGCGAAAATGGCGAATAAAGGGTTAGGTGAATAATATTTAATCTCTTACTAATTTAGATTAATCCAATTGAATTCATTTTATTTTGTATAGTCCAAAATCGCAAATTACCTCACATATTTGCCTCAGAGGGCTTTACAGTCTGTACACATGCAACATCCTCTGTCCCAAAACCCTCACATCGGCACAGGAAAAACTCCCCCAAAAAATGGAAAACCCTTCCATGGGGAAAAAAAGATTAATTTTTTTGTTTATTTTACTCGGCTGTGCCAATCACAGAGTACCATGTTCACTAAGGAGAAGACACACTCGCTGTCCAAATTTGTCTGTACTTTGCTTTTTTTGCATCACAGAGATGTATATCAATTGTAACTCGTTAAGTCACGATAAAGCAGTGCGGTGAGTAAGACAGAAAGTTTTACTTTAACTGTTTATAGGATGATGCTACGATGCAGGAAATGAATATGATTTAAGTGAGACTTGTGGTTTGTTGCCAGGCCTGTCGGGGCTATTTGATGCCAGCCTCCACCATGCCAATCACTCTGGTCCGGACCCCTCGGTCATGAATCTAATATCAGCTCTGGAGTCCCGGGGTCCACAGCCGCCACCCTCTGCTTCCTCCCTTCTCTCTCAGTTTCGCACTCCTTCTTGGCAGACTAGTAAGTATCAGCTTTTTTGTGTAATGCCACAAAAAATAATTGCCATTTGTCATTAGGCTTTTTTCTATTTAAATACTATTAATATTCCTGAATTATGATTAATAATTGAATTTACAAAATCAGTTGCAGTTTGATTTGCAAAAACAAATACAAGAAGTAAAAAGTTTGTAGTCTCAAACAGAAAAAGGGATAATTTGTTAAGTGTGAACAGTGACTTGGATTTCCCCCCCTTTCCATGTATTGTGTGTCTTGTAGCAATGCACACACCAGCCCCAGCGGAGCTCTTTATGTCAGGTGCACTTCCTGGTGCCAGCTCCTTTCCCTCGTCCTCAACTCTTTCTGCATACCAGCATCCTGGCTCCTTCTCTGGACGATCCTTTACTCCCTCCCTATCCCTTCAGGACGCACCTACATTTAGCCCGACACCCAACGCTTTGCTATCCCCCCATGATCCCTTGCTGCACATCAAAACACCCTCCCAGGCCAATTTGGGCTTTGATCGCTTGCTGTCATCCCACAGTGCCACCTACCGGGGCTCCCAGGAGACGCCGATCTCTCCCCAAACCCAAGCCCTTCCCACCTCCTCCAGTTGCCACCTACCCCCTCCTCAATTCAACCTGTTGTCCTCCCAGCTCCACAACCAGTCCTCCCAGCTCTATAATGCCTCCATGTTCTCTTCTACACCAGCGTTGCTGCCCACGGCTCCCCTTACACCACAGCCTTCTTCAGAGAGGGCAGTTTCACGGCAGGATAGTGTGATCAAGCATTACCAACGCTCGTCCCCAACCCAGTCCACAACACTCCCCCCACAGCAATATGTCAGCTGTGGTGGCTCATCAAGCTATCAGCAGATAGCCAGCCACCACCGGCATGCTGGAGTGTCTTGCAGTCCACTTGGGGAGCAAAGCCCATCCTCTGACCCCAAGCCCCCAACAAGGCTGGAATCCAAGATATATCGACCTATCATCCAAAGCCCCTATGCATCCTCCGCATCCAGCACGTCAGCCCCTTCCTCGACTGGCACCAAGGGACCCAAGAATCCCAGCTCCAATAGTGGCTACTCTTCTTCGGGCTCAGCTTCATCCTCTTCTCTTACCCAACATACTCCCCCATCAGCTTCCTCCACTTCCTCTTCAAGCTCCAAGACAAGCACTGGCTCCTTGTCTGCTCCCTCTTGTCAGCAGCCTACATCTCAGTCAGCACCAGCTCCACCACCTTTACCAGTGGTGTCATCCAACCTCGTTCAGCAGCCAGCACCCAAACAATGCGTCTCCACCTATGCCTCTCCGCCAGTGGCCAAATCCAGTACAGGCCTACCAGACCAGACCCCTACCCAGCAACATGCCCAGTCCTACTCTCCCAACCAGCCTCCATCTGCACACATAACCCAGTCTTATGGAGGCTTTAGCTCACCCCACGCACAGGACCTGAGCTCTGGAGCAGGGGATTCTGGCGGCAAGGCCTTCACCGGTACAAGAGGACGCTCCTTTTCTGCAGAGGTCGTCTTTGGAGATTCCAGCTTTGGTTCAACTCCTCTCAGAAGAGCAGGTAGTCCTTCCTTAGGGTATGGGAGTGCTGGAGGATCAACAGTAGGGGGACCCGTATCAGGAGCTACTTCACTTGGCAGTGGCGTTGGATCTACAGGGTCAGGGAGCGGGGCAGCTAGCGTTGGTAATGGAGGCAACAGCTCTTACCACCTGTCTGAGTCTTGCCCCTCACCCTCCATCAATTCTACTATCAGTCGCTCTGGATTGCACTCTCCTGCGTCTGTCCGCCCCGCTCAGTCCCCTGGAGGCTCAGGGGCCACCAAATACTTGTCCTCCATTCTCTCTCCTCCTTTTATGTCCTCACCACAAGGTTTCCCTGATACACGGCAAACACAGAGCCAATCCTACCACACAACACCACCCAAGCCAAAAACGGACAACAGAATGTTGGGAGTTCAGCAATCCCAAAACAATGAAGAGGATGAGGACGATTTCCTCATCCACCATTTACTACATGCCCAGAGCTCAACTCCCCATCCTTCCCAGCATCACCCCTCTCCTCAGCAGCTACCACAGCCGCTCTCACAAGCTAGAGACGGGGAAGGCAAGGGGCTGACCTATAACATTAACAAGATCTCAGAAGAGCGGTACCACCTTCAGAGTGTCATTCGTACTAATAACATCACCAGCAGTTCAGGTGCTGGAACGGCAATGGATGACGTTGGCTTAAACAGTCAAATGGACGCATCACAGAAGAAATCGCAACAGGCCAAATCAGAGTTGACCGTATCAAAGTCCAATGACGGAGGTGTAGGAGGGATGCCTGACTCTCTTTCTCACTCTCATAACACCCACTCCCATCAACAACAGCATGACTCGCTGGGCTCTGAGGTCCATTACGGAAGAGGGGACCCCTACATACAGCATTCCCATCACACCTCACATGTTTCATCACACACTCAGCAACACTCTCAGCATCCCCAAAACTCTCGGCATACTCAACACACCCAGCACTCACAACATCCTCATTCCCACTCCCACAGTCACCCTCACATGGAGCTGAAGAAGCTTACAGATGGAAATGACAATACCTACTTGTGCAACACGTCGGATGTACAGCAGGCCCGACCCCGGCAGGTCCCGCTTTCCCTGATAGATTCACCGCCAGACCCTCCCCAGCAAACTCACATTCTGCAATCTGTCCTTTCTCATACGACTTGCACAAAGATGGATCCCCAGCAGGCTCCTTCACAGCAGCATCCTTTGAGCCAGCAGACCATGATGGCTTCATCTGGAAGAGTAGGGCCAGCAATAGTTGAAACCCATCCACAGAACCAGTCCTCACAGTTGCAACTCCAGCTCCAGACCCAGAGTTTAGATACACACTATAGCCTTGGAGCCCAGCCAGGAGACCAATCCAGAGCCATTCAGAACTCAGTTTCCCCACTAAACATAATAGATCAATCTCTTTCCCGAACGAACAGTAGAGGTGGCGGAGGAGCCCTGGACAGGATGGGAGTTGGAGGGAATGTCACAAGAGGGGAGGGAGGAAGTGGAGATAGACATAGACAGCAGCACAGGCATCCCCCCCAACACCATACCCAACAAACAGCCTCAGACCTCCATGATTTTCTCTCTGAGCCAGATTTGGGTTTGGCCACCCCCTCACATGTGCACCACCTCAACCAGGCTCAAGCCCATGCCCACAACCATGCCCACCATCAAACCCAAGCACACTCTCACCATCAGATGACACACTCTCAGTTAGTTCACCCACAGTCCCACCGAATGACAGCAAATATGGGAACTCCGCAACAACAGCAGCGTCAACAAAGGGAGTCGGAAACTCTGTCACACCCCCAGCTAGACCAGCTCAAACAGCACCCGTTCGACACAGTGAGCCCAGTGGATAAAGTAGGACATAATCAAGTTCAGCAGCAACAGCAGCGCTTTGCGCCTCTGACGTCCATCTGCTTTCCAGACTCTTTGTTACACGATGAAGACCGCTCATTCTTTCCTGAAATGGAGGACATGTTTTGTTCAGCGGATTACAAATCAAGCTGTGCTGAGGATTCCCGGGCAGGACAGGATGCTCAAGAAAGCATTAGGCAGGGGCAAGAAGCTATGGAGGCCTTAAAAACAGGAGGTGATGGAGAGGGCTATGATATGGTTGGCCATCCGAGTGATCAAAACTATGGACAGTATTGCCACAGCCTTCCAGGAACAGGGAATGGCAGTCTACACTTAGACCTTGACTCTATGAAGACCCACGAGCTTCCCTCTACGGTGAATACTGATCAGCTAGGCCTCATCCAATCCCAAACACCCAATATTGCGTTGAGTTCAGCAGTTCAAGGGGATGGCTCAGTAAACAAGCTGATGGGAACTATAGGAGTGGCTGGCAGTTCAAATACAACTGGTCTGTCCTCACCTATATTCTGTTCCTCTAGACCCAAGAAACTGTTGAAGACCAGCTCATTTCACTTGCTCAAACAGCGGCGTGAGCCACAAACTCAAACAAAGAAAAACTATGCGCAGGAGTATGAATTTGAGGATGATGAGAATAAAGCAGATGTTCCAGCTGATATTCGCCTCAACAGTCGACGCCTTCCTGACCTGCTTCCTGACTTGGTGTCTAGTTGTAGAAAGGTGGGTGGCACATCAGGAGTAAGTGCGCTCAGCCCACTGACGAGTGACCTGGACTTCTGCAACCCCTCCAGCTTTGCATCCTTTGGACATCCTCCACAACTTCTCCCCCATGATGGCCCTAAAAAACGGGGTAGGAAACCAACTAAACCAAAACGTGAAGGCCCTCCTCGCCCACGAGGTAGACCACGCATACGTCCTCTTCCAGAGCCTCCTTACTGCAGGGGGCTGATGGGATCCGTGACTGGAGAAAGTAGGAGGGGCCGGGGGCGGGGACGAGGGCGAGGCAAGAGGGAGGAAGTCCACGTTGAAATGCATCAAGATATGAAAGTTCAAAGCCTCCCATATCAGCAGCAGCAGTTCAGTCAACAACAGCAAATGCAACAGCATCCACACAACCATCCCAGGCAGCAGGCAGAGCATCACCAAGCACCACAACAACAGTATCACCTGCACCTTCAGCAGCAGCATATCCCCTGCCCAAACCACCAACCGCATCATCAACAGCAGCAACATCAAAGGCATCATCATCAACAGCAACAACCACACAAGGAGCTGCAGCGAGAACCAATCAGGCCTGTCAAGGTAATTCTGAACCGACCAGATCATCTGGGTCTGTAGTAGTTGGGAATTATAGTGATGTCTAAAAAGCTAGAATGGGTTCAAATGTAGCTTGGAGTAAGTCATTAGTTTAATTCCTACCTGCACAAGTGAGAAAAATAGAAGGTGTGCATTATTTGTTGTGGGCTGTTTTGAAGTGGAGTTTAATGAGGTATTTAAATACTGAATAAATTACCTACACTAGATAATGTTTGGCATGATCCCAGTTTGGAGAAACAGACGACAGTACCAGCGTACACAGGCGCAGCAGCAAAAACGTAAAAATTACAACAGCAGTTTGAGTGCGCTAAGGCGCTTATCTGTGCTTATCAAAGCCACGAGAATTCTTTGACAAAAACAGACATGTCTTTCTACGTTTTGTCACCATAGTGTGCGATACATTTCCCTCTGCCAGTTCCAGCCCAACAAAAATGAGATTAGTCTAAAAGCAAATTAGGAAAGTCATGCACACCTATGTTGAACAGTAGAATATATCTCTGTTAAACCAACCCTTTTTAACGAGATCAGTACTGGCTCATCTTGTCTTGTAGATATCCTTGGTAGCCAAGTTACAGCAACATTTTTTTAATCCTAAAAGTCCTTCTAAATGTGTCCATCCTTCCCTGACCCTTCCACTTTGTCTGTCTCCAGATCAAACTACCCATTCCCACCATGTCTTCATCGGAATGCCTGTTGAGGACAGACTCACTGTCCAGCACTGAGCAAGTTCTGTCCGACGGATCTGTGGGGTCGGCACCATCTCTCGGACTGAGTCCTGAACCCAGTGTCGCCATGGACATCAGCAGAAACGAGGACAACCAGGTTCAAGACAAGATAATGAAGCATCAGCAGAAAGCTGTAGAGGTAAACAGCACACTGCTCATTAGTTCTGCTCGTAAAGCTCCCTGATGGTTTTCTCTGTGAGAACGCTGAACTTGTATTTGTTGTGAATGAACACATTCATTTGAACCAAGTATTGAAATATTTAATAATTGTGGTGACCAGCTTATACGAATTCAATGCTGGTTTTACCATGCAAATAAGAATGGACGTGATACAATGTGTGATACAAGCCGAGAGGGTGTCTCATTTCCTCAGTTAAATTATACACAACAGGGGGAGTGTCATTTCGTAAGGGTTGGACAAAATGGCAAATAACCAGCAAATAAATCTTATTTGGGAGAAATTTGAGGATAATTTTGTTTTAATCATTTGAAGATACTTATTCAATAAGGTAATTTGCTGGTGAAAGTTTTTGTGGGAGCACAACCTTGATTCCGTTTATTAGTAGTTAATTGCTTATATGCAAATTACTGCTTTATTTAATATCTAAGATACTGCTTCTTATTCAAAATTAGTTTTGACTTATGCTCCTTAGAACCGTAGCAGAATATTTGCAGGGATTTAAGGCAATTGTCAATTCATTAGAATATCCTTTACCATTCCACCCTTGAAATCAAGGAGGATCATCTATCTGTTGAGGTCCGTTGATATCAGGGTCTGTGTGAGAAGGAGTGGTTGATGTAGCAAAGGGTGCAGAGGCCCGATGCATGACAGCTGCAGTGTATTTCGTGTTGGAGCAAAATGAAATGTAGTTGCCCCAGCAACAGTGTGGTATACTGCAACTGCAGTATTTTGACAGTGAAGTAACACCTTCGATTTTTAAATCAAGTCCTGCTGATGATATGCTGTTGAATTAGTAAGAATTTGAACAGCTATCGTCTCATTAAGCCGGCTATGTATTCCAGAACATTAGCGTCCATTACCATGGACCGATGGTAAATCTCGGAGTCAGCTTCAAGGACTGAGCCCCTCAAATATCTACCCCCGCAATTACAATGCAGGAGGGCAGTGGGCCTTAATGTAGTGCAGCCATGGCAACCAAGGAGTTTGAAAGGTCCAAACAGTGGGACAGTCCTATAATTTAAATCCACCTGAGCACGGATTGAAGAAATACTTTATCATACCAGTGTTACCTTGATTTATTTTCCTGTCTTGCATGGCTTGTCAGTGAACAAACAATTAAAAAACTGAAAGTAATTTTGGCCATGTTTAAGAAATAGTTTGGTTTTTCCGAAGATGGGTGATTTTTAAATAGTGGGCATATGACTTGTAAATAAGATTTGAAAGGCGGGAAAAACAAACAATGGGACAACATAGATAAAAGACACAAAAAGAGAGACAAAATTATATTCTATGAACATTCATCCTCTCAAGCATCATAGATGCCTGATTTTATACAAGCCCCATAAAATCTCGTGATCACATCATATTGTTGTGCATGAAGAAAAAATAAACTAAACACAGTTTTGGCCGTAACAATTTTTTTCTTTTTCTTTTTTCTCTGATGTTGGCTCAGATGACGTGGAAGAAAGACATTGACGATCCTCTGAATCCTGAAGCCTGGGCTGCTATGCAGAAGCTCAGTTCCGTAAGTGGCCTCACACCCTATAAGGAGATAGGAGCTTGATATTTTGTTCATACCTCATCCATTCAACCTCGAGCCTCTAGTAGAGAAAGGAGCACATTCTTTGCCTTCCACACATCACAGCTGCCTAAAGGCTTTATTGCCAATACATGTGTAAGGTACCATTGGTCAGGTATGTGTTCAGACTAAATGTAAAAATGTCGTCTCCAGTGGAACCAAGAAGTGTTTTAATTTTCAGTAATGTCATTTTGATTTGAGGTTTGGAGAGAAGGAGGTTATATTTGACCGACAGCCAATTCTTTCTGACTGACAAAAGAGAGAAGAGAGATGGCTGTTACTAGGGCGGCTGTTGCCACGGTTACTACATTTTCTTCAGTACAGAACCCTTGCTGCCACCAGCTGTCTGTTAAGCTTCATTACCTACTACCACGTTTCCAGGGCCTGTATTTATTTAATCTCATTTAATAATCACTTAAAATGTCATTTGAGAGCTGACGAAGTAAGTCAAAGGTATTATTTATTTTGAGTTTTTCATCTTACAAGATTATATAAGAGGTACAATGGTTTCTTAAGGTTGTCATTGATTCCATTTGCACTCACTTCTCATTGATCCTCCCTGCGTGCGTGTTAATGGGGTTTGACTTTAATTTCACATGATTTCAAACTCAAATAAAGTACATGTAGAAAATACTAAAACAAGATCAGATCAGAGAGTAAGATGTAGTGTTCTTATATTTGGTTGAGTTGTGTTATTCTATGACTCCTTACAGTCAGAAATATAGATTAATAGTCCAAAATCAAACCGAAATGTTTGGAGATTTCATTGATTATCTAAGCAGGCGATCAACAGAAAGATAAGCAGCAATTGCTAATTGCTTCTCAATAAGCAATCAATTGATTGATTGCTTCTCAATAAGCAATCAATTCATCAAGAAATGAAACCTTAATTGAAGATGAAGATGATAAAGCCCTTACATGTCATGCCAAATGTTGTAGTGTTGTTTCTCTGTTAAGATATCCAAAGGGAAATGGCTTCAGAAATAACCTAATATTTCTATATATGTATAAGGGGTCAAATGAGGTGATGAAAACTACAAACTACAACATCCATGCAAATCTGCTCCCCTGTTCCGCCCTCGTTTGACTCACTCTCATTCATCCTTAGTGTCCGCTAAGTTCTCCATAACTTTATATGGTATGAAAGTAATGAGACAAGCCTCATAAAGCTCTAATCAATGATGAGATTATGCTCCTTTGCCTTTTGCAGGCTGATGAGAAGGCTTTTGACTTCAAACCTGGCTTCATGGCCTCTTTTCTGGACTTCCTGAAGACAGGCAAAAAACAGTCAGGTTTTGAAATGGGACATGATGGAGGCGAGCAGGATTCACTAAACCCCTGTTCCTCTATGAAGGGGGGGATCAGGCCCTTGTCCCCTCCTCCGCCCCCTCTACCACCAACTCCTCCCCAGCGGCCTCCACAAACATTCGGCGAGGGAGGCCAGGGCGACAGTGGAGACCTGGCTCTCAGCAGCTGCCCAAGTCCCTGCAAGCCACTGGACGAGGAGCTGAAGGGAAACCTGGAGACGCTGCCCTCCTTCTCCTCTGATGAGGAGGACTCTGTTGGTAAAAACCAGGACCTGCAGGAGAGCATCTCATCCGCCATCTCTGCCCTTTATGACACCCCCCACTCGTTAGCTGCTGCCGTGGCTTCTGCCATGGCCAAGGCTCTACCCAACCTGTCCCCGTCTATCCCACACGAGCCGCCGCTCACCCCCCCGGTCCCCGCCATGCCTTCCCTCATCCCTAGTATGGAGGATGGAAAAGAGGTCCTGGCTTATACACAGGATCATATGCAGGACAAGGAAGAGGAGAACGTGGTCTCCCCACAGTTTAATGTAGAAAAGGTGGATGAAATAGAGGCTGAGCATGAAGCAGAAGAGGAAACGAGGGGAAGTGGGGAGACTGCAGACGATGAAGAACAAATGAGGAAGCCACAGACTGTGCAGCAGGGAGCCGGGGACGAGCTGGAGGAAGAGCAAGAGGAGAGGATGCAGCTTTTGGAGGTCCCTCAAGTTGAAGGTAATGCACAGTTTATTCGCTCTGCTTTTAGCCAATTGGGACCGAGAAATCATGAACTTGTCATTGCCTGCCGGTGAGGCTCCTGGCTAACAGGTGACTTCCTGTCCCCCCAAAAGAGTATTCCTATTGTAATGCAACTTAGGA